TTGTTGCTGTTTGTTGCTGCTATTGTTGTACTTTGTGCATTGAGTAGCACTTCCAGTTGGCATTCTTCAGATCAATCGAACAAAGCAAATCTTAATGGAATATGAACACACTCGCACAGAAATTGCCAACGGCAATGAGCTATGTTGATGAATCTTTACGATGCTGCTGCTGCTGCTGCTGCTGCACAACAACAACCACAACAAGCAGCAACAACCACAACAACCAGCAACAGCACACACAGTGAGCAATGTCCAGTCGCGACATTTGGCTTTTGATTTTGCTTTTGCGTTTGCCGCCTGCCAGCCAAAAATAATAAAAGAAAAAAAAAGACAGTAAGAGTGCCTTAAGCGCGAGTGCTCGACTGCCAGATATCCTGTAGCCTGTGGACAGCCCCAATTTGAAAGTGAAATATTACTAATTTTTCTATATATATATAAAATTTGTATTTTTTTTTTGTTTCGTTTCTATTTCGATCTTAACACATGTTTCTCTAGGATACTACATCTTCTTTAGTACTTTAAGGATGCCTCTTGATTGTCACAAAATCGGTAGAGTATCGGCTACTGACCAAGTTTAATGTGGTGACTTTATACAGCAGAGTTCCACAATGCCAATGACTTATTGTCTTCCATCGATTGATTTTCCAAACTCCGCAACATACTTTGCGAATGTTCGAAATGTTGATAGTGGAATCAGGCAATTAGTCTACAATGTCCCATCAAACGACCGATGCAGTCTATTCTTTCCGATGATATAACATCACATACAAACATCATAAATTAAATAAAGATAAAGAATATGGATATATATATATATATATATTGTATATTATTACGTGTGCAGCACACTTCAATTGTAATGTGTACAGGGTATGCAAAACTGAAATGAAAAATACATCAATCAATTGCAAATAGAAAACAAAATATTCCCAATCAGATGAATTGATCATTGAATTGCTCTCGGTTGCCCGGAGTCCGTTGCCCGGTTGCCCGGTTAATGGCTGACGGGTGCCGGGTGCTGGGTGCCGGTTACCCGCTTGCCTCTTGGCTGGGTGCGGTATGGCTCGAAGAGCACTCAGCTGGCAATCGTAGAAAATGTTGCGCTTGCGGGTGGGCCCCACCTGACCAACTGACGAACTGTCTGTCAGACTGTCTATATATATATGTATATATATATATATATGCATACGTATATGGATAAGTGTGTAAGTGCCCAGAGGCTGGGCCTTTGGGTTTGTTAGAGGAACGTGCCCGACGTAGAAAGTGTTAAGTCCAATTCCAAATATTCGCTGGTGAAATTTAAATCATTTTCAAATTTAATTACCGGCAAATAAACGTTTGACATTCCAGACGAGTCAGTTGCCTGCCACCTGCCACCTGCCACTTGCCACATGCCTTGTCACCCTGTGGCCGCTGTTACTGCTACTACTGCTGCTTGGTTGCTGTTGCAGTTGTTGTTGTTGTTGTTGTTGTGTTGGGGCGTGGCAGCGCACTCGACTTCAGCATCTAAACATCATAATTACCATTCATCATCAGCAACAACGGCAGTCATTATGATCATTGGCTCATTCTACAAATACGCATGACTTTTTCTCTTTTCTTGTTGTTGTTGTTCCTGTTGCTGCTGCAGCTGCTGTTGTTGTTGTTGTTGTTGTTGTTGTCATCTTTAAAATCTTGTTGGCATGTCCAAAAACAAAAGCTCATCGCCTTATCATTTGTTACATTGTGAAATCGGGACCACAGTGCACAGTGGCCTGATATACAATTAGCAACAAATACTTATATACTTAAAGTGAACACAATCACATATAATTCAAAATAGTTAAGCTGTATACATATATATATATATATACATATATAGTTATATATATATATATATATATATATGTATATATTATAGATAGTTCTTCAAAGATATAATAAATACATTGTAAAATATAAACACCCATCAAATCTAGTTTCTAGAAAGGGAAAGCTGTGTTAACTTCACTATTATCCCACTACTATTATGTTAAATTAAAATAATAATTTAATAAAAATAATAAATTTAAGGAATTTAATATTTTTTTTTTTAATAAATTTAATATTTACTTATCTTCAATATCGATTGCTTGAGCTTAAATAAAATTCTCATAATATTTAAACTATATTTGAAGTATTTTCCAACACATATGTATGTAAGCACTACTATTATTTTTTTATATAAAATACATACTATAAGTATATATGTATTCTATATATTATTTTTAACTGTATACTTTTAATCCTATACTTTTGTATTACAGACATCAAAGGACTTTCACCTCTCACATTATCACATGAATTTTATTTGAATTTTATTGAAGTGTTATCCAAGCGCCATTATCTCATTTTGCTGTCAAAGTTAATGTTAGCTAACTGGCAGTTATATTGGATGCACTTTCGGTAATTATTTTCCTTTTAATTTTAAGCTGTTTTTTTCTTCGTTTGTTCATGCCAAATATTTCAAAGTTCGCTGAACTGCATAATAAATTTAAGTTTTAACATAAAAAAAAAATAAAATAAACAATCAGTGGCAAATGACCAGTTTTATTGCAGTGCATTTTGATAATGTGTTGACAATATATATGATCCATAGATCATAGACAGACAGTCTGTGGCAGACAGCCAGTCACCCACTCAGACGCCCCTCAGCTCCGCCCCTGAGTCACCGTCTCAATTGCAACAGTGCAACTGCAACTTCAACAGTTGCACGCTTTTTGTTCGTTGAGCTTGTGGTAAAATGGGTTACCTGCTCTTGTCTACGCATTTTGTTACTTATTATACCCTGTATAATAAAAAAAAACAATAATTTCTCAATTTTAAAGGGTATTCTATATGCTTGATCTGCGTACATTTGTGCCAAGATTTCAATATCCATTTCTTTCCAGTGACAGACAGGTAATCGATAAATGGGCGATACAAATCGATATTGTCTGAATCGGAACATACAAATAAAATAAATATAAATATATATTAGAATAAATAAAATATATAGGCAGTTCAAGTTTGCCTTTAATTTGTACGGAATTGTTAAGAGTTACAAAATTAAAATATCTGCATAAAATTAAAGCAATACCATTAATATTTATAAATAGATACATTTGCAATTAAATGATCAAATATAAAAGCATTAGAATTTCATTTTAAAAAATAATAGTTATAATAATAATAAACTAAAATTATAACAAAAAAATAATAATTCATTAAAAATTAAAGGGCATTAGCTCGTCGATCATTTCAGCAATATATTTGCGACTTGTTTTCATTCATCTTCAGCGCACAGACATATGTAAGTACTCGTATATATATATATATATATATATATATGTGTGTGTGTGTGTGTGTGAGTCGATCAGGAGACATTTCTCGTTGGTCGTTTTCTCGCCTTTTTTAGCGCTGGCCACTCTTTTCTTTTCTTTTCATTTCTTTTTTCTTTCTTTTTGGCGCACATAAAAAAAAAGCGGCTTTTCGTTTAAGTGCGTCGCGCCTGGCTGAGAGATGTCCGTCCGTTGGCCAAAGTTTGTCCAAAGACTGCGTCTACGTCTGCGTCTGCGTCTGCGTCTGCCTTGTGTAGATGATGACCGCTAAAGCCGGAACTGTCCATAGAGCCAGTCGCTGTCGCTGTCGCTCTGTCGCCGTCGGCAGCGCGACGAAAGTTGCGCCGCGTTTGGGCTGGCCAACTGACTGACTGACTGACTGACTGGCTAACTGGCTAACTGGCTAACCAGACAGAGACACAGCAGACGCAGCAACAGCAGCAGCAGACGGCGAATGCATGGCGGAAGAAGGAAAGTGAAGACGCTGCAGCTGCTGGCGTCAGGCGTCAGCGTTAGCGACGCCACCTGCAGCCGCAGCGCTGAGGATGTCAAGTGAATTGTGGATGCTGGATATGTTTGTGGATTGCATGGCATGTGGATGTTGAATGTGGCTCTGGCACTGTGCCTGCGATGGCTGCGTGAAAATGCCGCCCAACAAGTTTCGCAATAAAGAGAAAGTGTCCAAAGGCTGTTCTCGCGATCGTAAAGAATAAATTTGTGTTTCCTGTTTGCTGCATACCTTTTTAACAGTCTCGCCACAAAAAAAAACTACACAGATTTCATCTTTATCAGCCGCCCAGCAAGTGGCGCGAGAAAGTTATTTAGCATGGGAAACTGACCGATGTCCAGGGCTGTTTTTATTTTTATTTTTTTGTTTGGAGAGAGAGCTAAAGGGACCGTCAAGTCAAAAACAACAAAAATAAAATGAAATATAAAAAAAACTCCAAATGCAGCCAAAAATACTAAATTTCAGCTGTCTATGTGCATCTCTATCCAAAGTGTATTTGCACAGTGGTGCATGCTCTATGAAAACAACAACAGCAACAATATGTATATGCATAAACACTGGAACGTTTGATAAGAGAGTGTGAGTGAGAGAGAGAGAGATGCTGGATGCTTACACGCATTCCAATATCAATTTCCATAAGCTAAATGACGCATTGCACACAACACACACACACACTCATGCTAGTGCGCCTCTGTTGACAACTGATTCGCAATTTACAGCTAGATGAGTAAATCAGTGCAAGCCAAGCAAAGCTAATTTAGCTATAGCTAAATTTATACAAATGTTATTTGTTACTGTTGGCGGAATTCTAGCCTATGGCATATTAAATATACATCTATATGTATATATTTATATGTATATGGAAATTTATATTAGAGTATTTCTGCTGATGGCCAGAGTTATGCGATAGTTTATATTGGTCATTTGGCTATAAAATCGCTTAGTGCACAGCACTAACAAAATGCAATTGTATGTGTGTGTTTTATTTTCAGCTACGATAATGAATAAGCGACAAAAACAACGATCACATTTTAATAAACTCTACATAAAAATGCTGTGTAATATACAACTCTGTCTGCACACACACACACACAACACATACATTCATATATGTAATTGTATTTATGGCGTCTTATCCGCTAAGAGTCAGATCTGCTGCTGCTTGCGGCGGCCGCATCCGTTTGCGATGGAAACACAGTGTTTCAACTACAACGCAACAAGCAACTCTCTAAGTCCAAGTGCTCAATTAGCGGATAAGCGTATCCCTATCCCAATGACCGCCCGCAAAAGGGGGGCAGCTCAACTGCTGTTTTTGTTCACATTTCTGCTCCTGCTCGATTGGCCCAGCGCTTTGGCCTTGACGAAATTTAACAGTTATGCGGCACAATGCAGAAAGCGAACGGATCTGCGCAAGAAATGCCCAAATGTGAGTGAAATCATTCCAAGAAATAAGAAAAAAAAATACTATTAAAATCGTATAACATAAAAAAAAGATTTTCATGCTGAAAATCAATCGTATAAGAATATAGTAAATCCAACTAAATATTTTTGGGGCTCTATTAAAAATGCAATAACGAAATTCCACACATATGTACATATATATATATGAGTGTGTGTGTGTGTGTTGCTCATCAATATGCGAGTGAAGTGCGACTCTCATTCAGAATGTGTCTGGGGGCGAAGAAATGGGCGCACAGTGATGCCAAAATCAATCACACTTTCTAAGTGCCTGGCCTGACTGACTGACGTCCGCGTCTCGCAGTCACTGTTGACGTCGCCGTCGCCGTCTCAGTTGCTGGCGCCGACATTGCGCCAACGTTGACAGGCGGTCAAGTGCAGTGATTTTTTTTGCGGATTTTTCTAACGTTTTTTTGTATGACTAGCTGTAAAGCGAACGCAGCCAAAAGCCACAAAAACAAATTGAGCAAATGCACAAAGTGACATGCAACTACATTTTGTACATATGCATGTATGTGTGTGCGTGTGTGTGTGTGTGGCTTAATTTCAGTTGGCACGCACATTTGCCCCAATGAATTTGGGTTTGCTGCTGGCTGCACAGTGGTGTGAGTCAACGCAATAATTAGAATGCAAATTAAGAGTGCTGTAGTCAAGTCAGATCGAAGTCAGCTGTTTCATAAATTATAGTTTTATATTGCCAAATATAAATTTCGTGAACTCAACTTTTTATCCGATCTTGATGAATTTATCCATATTATGCGTTATCGATTATCGAAAGCAAACTTGATCTGGTGAATTGTTTTATTAGCTTTTTTGCTTCTTATATTATTAATAAACCTTTGTATTTTAAGATACACAAACCTTTTGCAACGTTTATATAGATATATGTTTCCTCATATTTAGAAATGATGTCTGAAAAATAAAAGAGAATTTCAGATGTAACTATTGAATTTGTTTGTGAGTAATTTATGAGATCTGCACAAATGTTCGAGCAGGTGCGCGCCATAAGGAACTTCAATCTGACCGAGATGATGGGCAAGTGGCATGTGGTGCAGTATTATGCATCCACTGAGGAACTGCCGGAATATGCCTGCATGCGCAGCAATTTCGCCTTCTCCATTGAGGATCGGCATGTGAGTTAGTCGACAAGAATATATTATATACCATAACATGTAAATAATGCCCATTTTCGACAGATAACAATGAACTTTAGCTATATCTTTGCGGAGGATCCGTTACGCGAAAAACTTCAGGGGAATATTACGTGGCTAATACCGGATCCCGAGACTCCGGGTCACTGGAAGCACACAGAGGATATATGTAAGTCGCTTAATCCACACATATATGCATATATAATCTTAATTTGCCATATATTTCCAGATGAGGGCGTCTATAATACATATGTGCTGGACACGGATTATGCCAATTGGGGTCTAATTATGCACTGTGCCGAGAAGAAGAAGCATTCACGTTATTTATCCGCATTGCTCTTGTCCCGGGAGCAGACATTGGGCGATAATGTTATAACTTTTTTGAGGTTAGCCAAAAATACAAAAGAACGTTTTTACATACGTTAATCGACTCAAAATGTACATTTTTAGGGAGAAATTGCCGCGTTATTGTATCGATTTGTCGTTCATGTTTCCGATTAATCAAACATCGTGCGAGCATCTGATGGAGTCCAGCAAGGATGATCCACTGGCGTATATTATCAATGGACAGCAGAGTGAGACGGACAGCCATAAGCTAATCAATAAGCCATAAATATTAATAATCACACAATAAACGAACGATGCATGAAAATTCAATTGTGGCGCCAACATGAAGTTGGTCGTGTCAATCACTTAATGTTGGCTGCACGCAGCGTTCTACTCAACAGAAGTTGGCTGCGCAACGCGTGTAGCGCTGCAACGTTAACACGCAAATGCGCAACTTAAATGTTATCGGAAAAGACAACACTGCGTTCGTTCGTGGCGAATGTCGGGCCTTAAACAACGCAAACAAAATTTGGTCACTCTAAATTGTAGTTGCGAAGAAAAAATTAAATATATTTTGTGTGTGATTTTAATGCTTAACAAATTGGATTGACCAGAAAACAAGAAAACGGTGCATTTGAAGCGTTCCATTGAACCAGTGTGCCACAATGTGCAATAATTGCAAGTGTCGCACAGCGAGCGATTTGTATGTATGTAATTTGTAGCTGTTGTTGCGATTTGCTGCTGCTGCTGTTAAAAGTGGTGGAAAATGTGTGCAACAAAAAACATGCAGTTTGCTACTCAACACTATGCACAATATTAACAAATCGGCTGCAACAGTGAGTGTATTAGTTGTTATTATCGTAAATTGTTTATGCGTGTGTGTGTGTGTGTCATGCGAAAAAGCATCGCAAGAATTCGCGCGTGCAACAGAAAATTGCGCCAATAAGCTAAGCGAACGAAACGACAACGTTTCTGTGTCTGTGTTTCTGAGTGTGTGTGTGTGTTTTTTTATTGCATTCCTACTCGCTCATACACACACAACATACACACATGTACACATATAGAGCAACAGAGATTTGAAACACACACACGCATACGTATATGTTTATGCATGTGTGTATGCATATACATATACATATACCCACATGCAGAGCAGAGCAGAGCAGCAATAAAAACAACAAACAGCAACAACAACAAATGTGTTTTTTTTTCAGGTGAGCCAAATGCAACGCAAAACAATCGCACGTTAAATGAAGATAGCAAAGAAAATAAAATAACTCAATTGATCACAACGAAAGTGCAATAATTTACTTTTTTTCGATGCCTGCTTTTTTTTTTGGCAACAATAAAAATGTTGAAAAACGGAGTCGGTGACTATTGTGTTCTCGCTCGCACGCACGTCATGTTTACGGCGCTTGCTGGTGTTGTTGTTGTTGCTTTTTGACATTTGCTGCTGGCAGAAGCTGTTAATTTTTTTTTCGTTGTTTTCTTTAATGTCGAATTATGGCTCAGGAGTACACACTATGCGTGTGTGTGTGTGTGTGCGTGCAATATTAATTATGAATTGAAGATAAATATTTAATTATGTCTCTTCTCTCTCTTATACTCAGCAGCGTAATTGTTGCGCCAACAACAACAACAACAAAGAGAGCAATAAGCGCCTAGAAGCAGTATAAACAAAACTGAAGAGAGAGCGCCAGAAAGAGAGAGAGAGAGAACGAGCACAAAACTTTAAACGGGACTTTGTAACGGGACTTTGCTCGATCCTTCCTTGTTTTTTTTTTTTTTTTTTGTGCAAAATGTCACGGTGGGGCAAGAACATAGTTGTGCCCCTGGACTCACTGTGCAAGGAGAAGGAGAACACAAATCGTCCCACTGTCGCCCGTTCCGTTGGCACTGTCGGCAAATGGGGCAAAATGGGCTTTACTTCGACACGCACCTACACACTGGCTGCACTGCATCCTGCTGCGGCCGCTAGTCCCGCCCAGAGTCCGGCCTCGTCGCACGATCATGATCCAAATGATATGTCCATATCGGTGCCGGAGCCACCGAAACCCAAAAAATTCTTCAAATCCCGCAATGCGGCACCGCCCGAAGTCATCGCCCAGATCATACAACAGTTGCCACATTGTGGTGCCGCTGGCAATTCACCAATGCGAGATCCGATGGCAAGCACCCATACCCACCATCAGCAGCAACATCAGCTTCACCATGAGCCGCTCAAGCTGAAGTTGAGCAAGGCGAGTAGCTCCGCTGAGCGGAAGCGCAAATCCCCCAAAAAGAAGGCAACAACAACAACTGCAATTTTAACGCCCGGTGCGTTAAGTGACAGCATGTCCATGGATTTGGCAGATCACATGCTCGACCTGGCAGCTGCATCACCCACCACCACCACCAGCAACACAAACACAACAACTCCAAACACACCCAGCAGTGGCAACACGCAGAAGAAGAAAAAATTCAAGGAGGAGAAGAAATTAAAGCCGGAGGCGCCGCCGTCAAGGATATTGGGACGTGCTCGGAAACAGGTCAACTATTGTGAGGTCGATGAGGATGAGCGTTATCCAACGCCCGTTAAGGACCTCATTATGCCCAAGACGCGTCCGGCGGAGACGGCAACAAATGCACAAGATGCTGCAGTGGGTGGAGGAGTGGGAAGAGGACCAGCAGGAGGTGTGGCAAGAGGAGGAGGAACAGCAGCAGGATTAGCTGCCGCAGCAGATTCAAGTCCAGCGCTTCCACCACCAGCAACAGCGCCCAGCGCTTCATCATTAGCAACTCCAGCAACAGCTGCTCCAACTGGTCCAGTTCCAGCTGCATCTACAGCTCCAGCAACAGCAACAGTGCCATCCACTTCCGCCTGCTCCTCAAGCGCTTCCCGTACACCCGAACATCCGCCAATTGTTTTACGCATTTCCAAAGTAAGTTGCCCAAAAAAAGCTCTACTTAAAATTGTTAATGTTATTTTATTAGAATTTAAATTTGAAAAAAGCTCTATAATTTTTAGTTTCATATTATTAGAATTTAAATTATAATTTATAGTTTTCATTTTGACATTTACTGCTTGCACATAATCAAAATGTCAATTTTTTTACTGTGTATACATTTTATATAGTTTGCTTGTCTTAAAAAACACAAAAAGAGTAAGTCAAATGCATTTCTTTTATTTGTTGCAACACTGTGAACCACTGTGCACGCGTATGCGAACGATCGATAGCTGTCTCCATTTCTTTCTTTTGCTAACTCACGCACGCACGATCGCTCGCTCGCTCACTCTTTCGTTCGCTCACACATGCACACACACACACACACACACATGCATTGACTGTTTGAAGCGCTCTTCTGAGCGCTGTGTGGGAAAGAGAAAGCGACAACAACAACAACAACAAGCAGTGTTAAATTACGCGCGCTTTTACATTAAATGGAGTCTTTTTTTTTATTTGTGCTGTTTTCTTGAGTTGCTGTTGTTTTCTTTTTTCACTACTAACGCCGCCAGTTGTTGTTTGTTTCCGTTGTGCGGCAGTCGTCGGTCGCCAATAGCCAAGTGTTAATTGTCACTGAAAAAATAAACCCAATAGAAATTGTAAACTGTAAACTAAACAAATGTTGATCTACAGTTATTAAACAACGGCATCAATTTTCACTTCAATTTTCAGGGCACATCGCGCTTAGTCAGCACGGATAGCGAAGAGCCGCCAAATAATTCGCCGACACATTTCCAAACGCCCAACGATGAGAATAATGAACGAGTTCCTTTCGAAGCTGCGGCAGCAGCAGCAGCAGCAATAAACACGCCAACAACAGCAACAACAACTACAGCAGCGACAGCAACAACAACATCAGCAGTAGCAACAACAACAACAACAACGCCAAAAATAACTGTAAAACCACTAAGGCCGCCAACTGCAGCAGAAGCAGAAGCAAGGCAAGCAGACGCTGACGAAGAGGAAGAAGAGGAGGAGGAAGAAGAAGAAGAGGAGGATGAGGATGAGGAGGAACCGCCCGAAATCAATTATTGCACAGTGAAAATCTCACCAGACAAGCCGCCCAAGGAGCGCCTAAAACTGATCATCAAAACGGACGTGATTCGCAACGCGATTGCCAAAGCAGCCGCTGCAGCAGCAGCCAAAGCAGCTGGCGAGGATTCGCGGAGCGAAAAGAAATCCAAAAGCAAAAAGCACAAGCATCTCAAACACGCAGCCGCAGCAGCAGCAGCAGCGGCAGCGGCAGCATCATCAGCAGCAGCTGGCGTGGGCGCGGCAGCAGCTGCTGAGCTGGCCAACTCGGAGTTTAAAACACCATCGCCACACCTGGCGCTCAACGAGCAACAACAGCAGCAATCGCAGCCCACAACACGCTCCGCACTTATTTCGCCGCCCGAACACGATTTCGATTCGCAATCCTCGGTGCTGGGCAGCAACTCATCCAAGGGGAATAGTACGCCACAGCTGCTCGCCCAGTCGGTGCAGGACGATAGCTGTGTGATACGCAGCCGTGGCTCGAGTGTCATCACCAGCGATCTGGAGACAAGTCAACATTCATCGCTGGTGGCGCCACCCTCAGACATTGAGTCGCGACTGGAGTCCATGATGAACATGGACTGTGGTGGGGGTTCGGCGGCAGCGGCAGCAACTGTTGCTGGCGAAGCGGAGGCGGCTCGGCCACTGCAACAGGCCGACATATTGGCTGTGCTGCGTGGTGAGGTGCTCATGCCACGCCTCAATGGGGAGCAGGAGACCCAGCAGCAGCCGCAGCTGGGTGGAGCGGGTGGCAGCAATAAGCGGACCACACGTGGACGCGCCCGCAAGGCGAACAACAATGCGGAGATTGTGACGCCGGCGGCAACGGAGACGCGCACACGGATGCGCAACAAGCTGCAGCTGGAGGAGGCAACGCAGCAGAGCACAAAGCGTGCAACACGCGCGCGTGCCACAACCACTACAACCACAACAACAACCACCACCACCAACAACAACAACAACAGCAGCAGCAGTAGCAATAAGCGAACAGAGATTGCAACTGCAGCAGCAGCAAGTGCATCAACGGATGCAGTGGATGCAACAGCTGCAGAGGCGCCTCCACCTGCTGTTGTTCCATCTGCTGCCGCTCCTGCTCCTGCTGCTAGTGCTCCTATAGCTGCTACACGACGTGGTCGCGGTCGCACTGCTGCCAGCAACAACAACAATTTGCCCAGCAGCAACAACAACAACAGCAGCAACAGCAACAACAACAATGTGCACAACAATATCAATAAAATTGCCGCAAGTCTGTCGGCCAAAGCGGAGGCGAGTCGTGCCACAACGGACAATGGGGCCGGTGGCGCCGCAACGCGTAGCTATGGACGGAAACGCAAAAATCAGCAGGTGACGCAGGTGTTGCAAGTATTCCAAGTGCAACAACAACAGCAGCCTGCCTCGGTAACAATGACAGCAACCGCGGAACAGATGCCACTCGATACGGATGCGGCACAGCTGAAGCTGAAGCAGCAACATCTCGCCGAGCAGCTGAGGAAACAGGATGAGGCACAACCAACGCCCGCCAAGCAAATGCACACAGATCTCGATTTGGCGTTGGATTTGGAACTTGATCTGGACATGGGACCGGAATACGAGTCGTTGCACGAAACGACGCTGCACGGCACGGAGCAGGAACCACAGACGCAGACGGAACCGGAGCATGAAATGGAACCGGAACCGGGCATGGATGAGTTGTCGAATACATCAAATAGCTCGTCCATGATGCAACACGATGGCTCCTCATCGTCGCCGCCGTTGCGTGACTACAAGTTCAAGGATAAATTCAAGCGAACAATTACGCTGGACAACCAAGTGCCAGGTGGAGCCGCAGCAGCAGCAGCGGCGGCAGCTGGAGCAGCGGGTGGAGAAGCAGCGGCTGCTGCAACCGGGGGAGCAGCAGCAACAGCAGCGGGTGGTGCTGGTGTAGCAGCGGCTGGAGCAGCTAGAGCAGCGAGTGGAGCTGGAGCTGGAGGAGCAGCGACAAGTAGTGCAGACAACCTAGAGGCATCCATCAGCACTGGAAGCAGCAGCACCACCACACAGCCACCAAATCTCGAGGAGACGCAACGTGGCGCTGTCAAGCTGGTCATATCGAAGAAGAAGGGCTCAATCTTCAAGAGTCGCGCCCTGGTGCCCTCCGATCAGGCGGAGCAGGCGACGGTTTCCAAACGGCATCTGTACAAGCACAGCTGGGACGCTGCCCTCGAGGCGAACGGTGGCGGCAATGGCAGCGATGCCAGCAGCAACGCCTCCGCAACAACAACAGCTGGCGGTGGCGGCGGCGGTGGCGGCAGCAGCGGATGCGGTGGTGTCGCTGCGGGCGATAATCTGGCCGCGAGCAAAGCGGCCGCCATCGATGCCATCTATGGGGACTTTGGTGACTCCAATTCCAATAACAATACCAGCAGCAGTTCAGCGCTGCGTGGCGAAAGTCCAGCGTTGGGCAAACTGAGTGCTGGTCGCCCCACCAAATCGCAGCAATCGACGACGGCTGCCTCTGGCAGCGATGCCTTCGATCTGGACCTGGAGCCGAGTGCGGATGAGGGCATGAACCTGGGTAACATGGGTGCGATGACGACGGCGACGACGACGACATCATCATCATCGGCAATGGCCGGTTTGCGTGTGGAACGCAAGACCAAGGAATACTATACGGTGGTGCGGAACGTGAAGACGGCACATCAGATCCAGGAGATTGGCGAATACCAGGAGATGTACGACGATGTCGAGTATATACTCGATGCACTGCAGCCGCACAATCCGCCGCCGACACGTTGCCTCTCCGCCCTCCAGCTGGCCACCAAGTGCATGACGCCAGCGTTTCGAATGCATGTGCGTGCCCATGGTGTCGTCACCAAGTTCTTCAAGGTGAGTGGCATATATTTAAGCAGCCAGAGGACAGTAGACAACTCCTGGCAGAGGAGATTCATCGATTGTATCGATTATTAATTGTGGAAATATTTTGTATTTTTGCAGGCGCTCTCCGATGCCAATCGGGATTTGAGTCTGGGTCTGTGCACCTCGGCGATTATGTACATCTTGTCGCAGGAGGGTCTCAACATGGATCTGGATCGGGACTCGCTCGAACTGATGATCAATCTGCTGGAGGCGGAGGGTGTGGGCGTGGGCGTTGCCGCATCGCCCACAGATCGTGCCAACTATGAGCGGAACAAGCAGAAGGTGCGCGAACTGTGCGAGGAGATCAAGGCCCAGGGCAAGGGCACCCATCTAAATGTGGAATCGATAACGGTGGGCACCCTGGCCATGGAGACGCTGCTTTCGCTCACCTCGAAGCGGGCGGGTGAATGGTTCAAGGAGGATCTGCGAAAACTGGGCGGACTGGAGCATATCATCAAAACGATATCGGATTTCTGTCAGCCGGTGATTGCCACAGCTGCCACAGACATGTCGCTAGTTGTGTGGCAACCGACACTGCTCGACAACATGCAGACGGTGGCACGTTGCTTGCGCGTCCTCGAGAATGTCACCCAGCACAACGAGGCGAATCAACGGTATATGCTCACCTATGCCAAGGGACGGGCCGTCGACACACTGTGCTTCCTCTATCGGCTCTGCGATCGCCAGCTGCTGCTGCATCCGTGCAGCACCAGCGAACAGAACAGCAGCAAGGAGCATCCGGGCGTTGCAATGCGTGAACTGCTCATACCAGTGATGAAGGTGCTCATCAATTTGACGCACACGTTCAACGAGGCACAGCCATCGCTGGGCGCCGAGCTGCTTGGCAAGCGCAGCGATGTCATCGAGACCAGTTTCCATCTGTTGCTGCTCGCGTCCAACTACATTCCGGACCGTTGTGTCTTCGAGCTGAGCATTCTGGTGAGCAACTGTCAATTGTCGATTGTCTATCGTTAATCGATATATCCTTTTGAATACCCAACAGACTTGCTCTGATCATAGTTTATATATGAGACCATGATCATCTTAAGCTATATAATATGTAGAAAAGTGCTGTAATTTGTTATAGATTTAATTCATTTAGTTAATTTTGATTTATTTATTATGATTGAAGTTTCAAATCGAAATCATTTAAATAATTGATGTTTGAGTTCAGATTCTATGCGAAAGATTTTGTTTGACATGATTTTAAACTAAATATTTTCTTTTTGGTTCTCCCTATGTGTTCTTTTCAGGTGCTGACGCTGCTGATCAATCTGTGCATGCACACGCCACCGAATCGTGCCACATTGATGCAGGCACATGCGCCCGCCGAATACGTTGCCGACAATCCCCCGCCCGGGGATCAGGCAGTGAGCGCCATGCAGGCACTGTTCGAATACTTTTACAAGTGCGAGGAGCTGGCCAGGTTAGTTAGACATATATAGCCATATATATATATATTATAATTGGTATAATGCCGACTTGCTTGCAGACTTGTGGAGAAGAATACGGATGCGTTCCTCGAGAACAATGAGAAGGGCAAAAAGAAGCAGGAAGAGGTCGAGGAGACAGTCAACAATCGTAAGTTGAATATAGATATAGATATATATATATATAGTTTATATTATAGCAGTTGATGATTATAATGCGTAAACAGCTGTTGTTTGTTTGCAAATAGTCGCAAATTACAGGGTACTGGTAATTGAAACGACTGCGACAATAAAAACAAATAAAAGGTGTAAATATTTTAAGGAAAAGCTAAAATCAGCAAAGTTATCGCTGTTGTAAATATAAGATAATTCCAATTGGCATTCCATATATAGTCATAAGCTTATATATATTTATATATATATATATATATATATATATATATATATATATATATATATATACTTACTAATCGCACCTTTGATCTGGCAGTTGTGCAACGCGCCAGCCATCACATGGAGCACACGCTGAAGGGCAGCTATGCGGCAATATTGATTGGCAACCTGATCACCGATAATGAGCAGTATGAGAAGATTGTGCGTCGCCAGCTTCGAGGCAATAGTTTTAAGGAGATCGTCGGTGTGCTGGAGAAATATCACACATTCATGAATCTGACTTCGAGTGTGAGTAATCTAATCAATCAGTTGCGTGAGTGAGGTGTTATCAATTGAAATGATGTGTTTTTTTTTACAGTTGGAGGCTGCATTTGTGGCACACATGAAATCGACCAAGAAGATAATTGACAACTTCAAGAAGCGCGACTATATCTACGAGCATGCCGATGAGGATCATGCGATGGCGATGCCACTCAATCTGGAAACGACAGCGCATCATCATCATCATCAGCAGCAACAGCAACACCAGCAGCAGCAACAGCAGCATCATCATCATCATCATTATCATAATGAGACAAGTGATGTGTCGATGCAAACACAGGATGCCGGTTGCAGCAGCACCACAAGCAGCAGCAGCAGCAGTGCAACAATCACAAACACAAACAACAACATCAGCAGTGGCAGCAGCGGTAGCATGCCCCGTGTCTTCAAGACCTACAGCAGTCATAGATAATTAATGTCAGATGATGAGCTAATTAACTATATAGTAGAATATATGTCGCCGCCAATCCCTGAAAGCCTGCCACCAAATTAATAATTCTTAATGTTTGTTGTAATTGGAAGTGGACGACGGACGACGGACGAACTTGCTGTCGTCGTTGTGTTTAATTATTTATTTCCTATTCTGAATGTGAATGTGTTTCGTAATAATGCATAGAGAGCCAAACACACACACAACACACACACACACAAAATGTGCTCCTTTGCTCGGCTTTTGTATTTGTTTCATATTTTTTTTGTAGCTTAGCTTAGCAATATTATATATTGTCTTGTATTTAAAAAAAAAACACACACAAAAACAAAAGTGATAACAAATTTTCATGAGCATGGTCAGCGTTTTAACTACAATCACACACACACACACACCTAAACACACACAGAGACAAGAAAAAGTAAAAGAAAATAATAAGAAAAACACTCAAAGATCCAAATTTCTACTGATAAATGTGTACGTTATATAGTCATAAGCAATATTAGCAACTATTATTATTATATATATGTATACCTTCTCACACACACACACAGACTCACACACACACTCACTCACACACACAAACGCACACACACGCAACACACACACACAACTAATAATCGATTGTACATATTGTTTATCCGACGATTTTATCCAGCGCTACCTAGGTTTTATTTAAATGTTTCTACTCTACATATGTATAATTAATTATTAACTTTTTTTTTTCCTAATTGTATGTTCTATATAAGCACACACACACACACACAGACAGACACACACATATACATGTATAAAGTAAAAGATTAAATGTATTGCAGACAAAAAAAAAAGAAAAAAATATATAGTTATTTTATTGCGTATAGCGTTTAAGTGAAAAGAACTCTATCCATGCATCTATACATATATGTATATATATATATATGCATCTGTATATCTATGTGTATGTTTAAATGAAGTAAAAGAAAATGTCATATTTAGGCTTACAACTGAGATATATAAAAAAAAAACACAATTTTGGGAACAAAATATATATGTATGTATTTATTTTTTTTTTGTGTTTTTTAAAATTGTCGATAATGTGAAAAATATTACTAAGTAAGGATACTATTACACACTATACATCTAAATATTGTTCTTGCAGAAAACAAAACAACAAAAATAAAATAAAATAAAAATTCAAATGAAATTATAACGTACGTTTTCTTGGTTTCCAAAGGATTCTATTAACTAAATTTGATTTCGTAATAAAGTGGTCTTTCTTAACTTTATTTTGGAATTTATGTGCTAAGCCAACTTAGCAACTATTAAAAACCTTTAATATTTAAATAAGTTGAATGGCGCAAAACTGTTAAAATGCAGCTCTGTTAGCGGTGGTGCAGTGCTGTTAGTGGAGGAACGCACAATGAGCAGTTACGTGCACACGTGAATGACAGAAACGCGCAGTAGTCGTAATTTATAGCACTTCACAAAGAGGACGGAAAAATGATGCGAGAATAAAAAAAAACCTAGCGAAAAGCATGTTGTTATTATTTTTTTTTTTTTTAAATAATCGCTAAATAGCAAATTGCGTGCGTCGTCGTGTCGTCATCGTTGTGGTGGTCGTCGTCGTCGTGGTCGCAACAACAACAACAAAAAGTCGACAAGTTGCCAAATTATAATTGTTCAAAACTATAAATTGCAAAAGAAGCAAACAAATAAACAACAAATAAGAGGAAGAAGAAGAGTTGCACATACAGAGAGAGAGACGACGAAGAGAGAGTGAGTGAGTGAGAGAGAGGGGAGCATGTCGAAGGCGCCACGCCCACGCCAGCGCCAAGTGGGCGGCGGGCAGAGTGCGAAATGCGCCAAGATAAATGCTGAGACGAATGTTGTGGGGGACAGGGATGCGGAGGGGGAGGGGGATGGGGATGTGAGCAGCGCCTTGGATTATACAAACAGCAGTTCAATTATCGAATTCCTGGCCAAGGAGCAGGACTGCAACATGGAGCACACCGATCCCGACACCATTTTCCAGGAGGTGAGTCGCCTCTCCGATCACACCGATCTCCGATCCGTTGATGAGCTGCTGCTGGAAGCGGAACGCCTGATCCGGCAACAGATGCGTCTGGGCGATGGCGACACGGAACCGATTAGGGCCAGTGCCACACAGACGCCATCGGCGCCATCGTCGCCGCAATCGTTGTCGTTGTCGTCGCCCCAGAGCAGCATTCGTTTGAATACGCGCTTCACTCGCTCCATTGAGCATGTTCAGGTCGGCGCTAAAACGAATCCCGGCCAGATTACGCTGAGTAACCATCTGAAACAGGCAGCAGCAGCAGCAGCTGGAGCAGGAACAGTCACACAGACACATCCACAGACACATCCACATCCTCAACCCCATCCGTCTCCTCAACCAGTTGCCGAGCAGCTGAGCAACTTTGTTGCCTTCGTTGATAGTCTGCCCTCGGAATCGGTCATTTCCGAGGAGTCAACGCCCAAGGATCTGCACACGAATCACACAAGCATACACAACGGTAACGATAACGATAACGATAACGCGACCTTGGCACAGCTGCAGCTGGAACAATTGGACAACACGGATGACGATGAGGATACGGTGAGTGAGAAGCCCCCACTCAAAATATGTATGCAGAAAAGAACTTGTGAATTTTCCATCAAAGAAAAATTCAAAATATCAAGCCAAAAAACAATATTAATTAATTAATTAATTTGTTTCTTATTGAAAATCAAAAGTCTCTGGCTTAAGATAGATAAGGGTCCATATTTCTCTTTCCATAGATTTTATTTGCAAAAGGTATGATTTAACTATGTATTCATTATAATAAAATCTTAACTGAGCTATCCAATAACATTATAATATAATAATTGGGCTACAGGGCTGAGGATAGAGGATAGAAGGTAGAGTCTAAGCTCTGAGATAATGGAAAAAACCAAGAATTTCAAAGCCACTTCAATTGGACGGTCTCTGAACTTCCTTATAAATCTCCTATTTAAAAAAAAAACTTCATCAACAAGCAATAATCGTATGGTATTATTGACTGAGTCATCAAGAGTGAAATTGGGTATTTTTTGGTGAGTGCAAAGCTAGCTAGTAGAATACCCAGTAAAGTTCCTTTTCGTGAGAACTACAAATTTAAATATTGGGAATAATTTCTTATTTTATGTTGAAATCAATTACAAGTTATTTCAAAAACACAAATTCACCTGTGTGATTTTTTTTTAGATTTCCAACAAAGCAAAAAACCAAACATTTCTTAAACAAAAATCAACATTTACAGTTTAAGAGTCGCCGTGCCGGCATTGCAGTTTTAAAGTCACACTCTGTTGGGACTTCAAAGTGCAAAATTTCGTTTTGATATTTGCTGAATTGGTATCGAAATAAAAATCAATTATTGAATATATTTATAATTTATAAGGACATAAGCTTGTATAAATATATGTAAATATATATATATATATATATATGTATATATAAATATTATTATTTTTTGTTTTTACATATGTTACAATGTACAAATACATGCATACATAAATAGACATTCACTCAAACAAAATACAAAAAAACAAGACACTCACACACAGACAGGCAGATAGATAGAAAGGTAGATAGATAGATGGATGGATAAGGAGGGGGAGCGGGTGTTAACCAATGGATTGGGCAACCGTTTCGGCGACAGTCCAGCCCTCCAGCGCTGTATCCTTGATGAATTTGGGTGGCAGGACGAAGCCGTAGGTGCCGCGATCACGCAATTCCACGGTGTAAACATATTTAACGCCAAGGGCATCGCGACTCCAATCGTCGGAGCCGCCACCGGCAATGCCGAGCACCTCGTGCGTCACAGACGCCCGGTACGTACTGCCCGTCTTCTGGGCAATCCGTTCGACCGCTGTGCTTGCCACACGCTGCAGCACAGCCGCATCGCGCACCTTGACTGCCTTGTAGGCCCACGGATAGACAACCAGCTGGCCATAGCTGTGATAGGTTAGATATGCCTCCAGATTGTATTTGCGTTTCGCAAGGAAATCGGCAACCGCCTGCGTCTCCAGCTCGGAGGCGGCTGAGGTGCCGCGAAAGACATCGCTGCACGGATCCTTCGAGGAGCCGAACCCATTCCAGCCAATGTCGAAATTCCGATTCAGATCGACGCCATAGCAATCGGCGCGACGCGGACCCGATCGATTCTTGCGCCACAAACGATTCACGGTTCGACTGTATTCGTAGCCATCGGGATTCATCATTGGCATTATGTACCAGGTTAGGCCGCGTATATGCGCCGGCTGATTCTCCCAGTTGTGCATCAGTTGGAACAGTATAAAGGTCACCGTTGCCGGGCTGATCCATTCGCGTGCATGAATCCCGCCATCGATCCAAACTTTTTTATATTCACGCGGATTTTCGGAGATGCTGTAAAAAATCAACAGTGAAGACAAAATAATTACTGCATGCTCTTGGGCGCTGTTCGATAAATGTTAACACTTGCTCAACTGTTATTAACATTTCAATGTTAACCGCCTTGACTTGAACATTCAACATTCAACTGTCATTGCCAATTAACAGAAATGCTGTCTGCTGTGCTTGTCCAACTATTTGTGCACTTTTGTGTATATTTACAGATACAGTTGCGGTCAAAATAATATTAGCGCTGTGAATAATTTATATTTTCATAAATACTTTCATAAACCCAATCGATTCTTTTGACCATTTTACTCCTCGATGTATCTGCTCACAACACTTTTCTTTGGATTTTACCAATTCCTTTTGTTTATTTTCAGTTTTGGGCTGTTTTGGCTAAGTTATATGTCATATAATACAGCCAACTATCATGTCTAGTTTTCAGAAGTATTCTTTATTCAGCTATTTTTTAAAAATCTAAGAAAGCATCACTACTATTCCACTACTATTATTTTGACCGGCTCGTTTGTCATTAATTAATTTTCTTGTTAGTATTTTTATGGCTATTCCATCTTTTAATGTTTACTTATCTTCAGTAATGATTGCTTGTATTCATATAAAATGTTCATAAGCTTTGAACTTTAAGTAATTTTTTCTTCAACATTTTCCAAAACAACTGTTATTTTGACTGCAACTGTATTTATTTATTTTTTCACTTACCGCAAAACCTTGAGATCCCGTCCCTCGGCCGTCTGTCCGATCGTATATAGTCGCACTATATTCGGATATTTTGCGCGTACTTCCCGCATAAACGCATAGATTGTGTCCAGATCGTGATAATCCTTCCAGTGCATGCCGCTGCCCGATCGCGATGCCTTCTCTGTTAAGCGAAAAATACACATTTCAAATGTGTCTGTCTGCTGTCAATTCAAATTAGACTCACTTGTGCGTGTGCCTGGCAGCGATGAGGTGGCTTGGACACCATCGAGTAGCTCCTCATCGATTAGGGACTGCACGTTGTCGGCGAGGATTTGCGGTTCGAGATGATGGGCATCGAGAAAGTTGCGGGCCGCCTTCAAATGCTCTTTGCCAATGGAGATGTCCAGGAATTTGGAATTCTCCTTCCAGATATTGCCACCGAATTTCTGCTCCATTAGCTGACCAACGGGCATATATTGACGCATTGCGTCCGATATGTTGTGGATGCGCCACAATTGTGTCTCATCGTAACGCTCCGGCAAATCGGCAACTATGTTTCCCAATGACAGGGATTCATTTGCAGCACTCGCTGTGCCAAGCAGCATCGCTAGCAGCATCAATCGTTCCACTCCTCCTCGATTCATTGTCATCTTCTATTTTTTGAGTTATCAGCTATCGGTTATCGGTTATCGCAGTGTCTGTGAATTGATAGCTTATCAGTTGCTGTTAACAAATTACCGACGATTGCTCCGATTCAGTAACTACTTTCAGTAATTACATAATTACGTAGACCCCTCACCCCCTCCCGCCTTGTTGCGCTCAATTTGCTTTTTAGGTTATAAAACCATAAAAAAAGTTTAAAAAAAAAAAACAAATCAAGCCATAGCTACTCTGATTAGTGTGTTAATCGAACTGAGAAAAATAAACAATAAAGAGATATGAGCAATAACAAATAAATAAATCAAAACCAATTTCTTTTATAGCTGTAAGTCATTCAACAAGCGATCATTCGCTTTAAAATTAGAAATCTTAGATTGAAAATTTAAAATTTATATTCCAAGTTACATAAACTCAATTTCTATGTGTATATCGACTAGGCTATATATATATACCTTATGAGATCGAAAGCATTTACTTATGCACTTTCACATTACACGAATAAAGTTGTTTTAGTTTTGCTTTCTGATAATCGAATGGAGAATTTAACTTGCTAATATCAATAAACTTATGTTTACGTCTGGAACGGCGAGGTTATTTTTTGTCAAAATTATGCCCCATTAACATAATTATGTAGGCACTAAATTATAGTGTGCTCAACTTGTCAAATCTCGATCACTCAAAAGTGTGGTAAATCATTAAAATTATTAACAAATATGGCGTTTGAACTAAATTCAATTGTTGTGCGATTTTTCTTACAAGTTGGAATTGAATTTTTGTGATGTTTGTGAATATTTTTCTCAATTTTTGAATATTCATTTAAAAACTGAAAAAGTGAAATCGAAATGTTTTCTAAAAATACGAAATGATGGTGCAGATAATAAACTTGTGAGAGAACTCGAGAGTTGTACTAGCTATCATTTTATGTGACAACAACTGAATAGTTGAAGTTGTATTTTTCTAGTTTATTTAGTTAATGTTGGTGTGAGTGTGTGTGTGTGTGTGTGGGTATTTTGGCCTTGGCCAAGTGTTGGCAACAGCGTTCAAGTTCAATGTTATGCGGGAATTGTACAAGTTGCTTGGTTTTCCAAAGCTTGCGATTGCAGTTTTTCAATTTTGTTTTCAATTCATTTCTGTTTTGTTTTTTTTTTTTCAAGTGTTGGCGATCGATTTGGAAGTGAGGGGTGCAGTACGAGGGGGGGGGGGGGTGTTTGGTTCAATGAAACGAATTGAAATATATGCGATGTGAATCGATTTGTGCATCATTTGTATGCGCAAGGAGCGCTTTGCTTTAATATCGAGGCAAACGAATATCGGATGATTATCGGATTCTTTTATTTTATTTTAATTTGAAATTGTGTACAAATTACGAGTTGTACTCTATTTGAATCTGTTACTGTTATGCAGAGTTTTAAGTTTCATTTGATTGTGCAACTTGATTTGAAAAAAAACAAAAAAAAAAAAAAAAAAAACAAGAGTGTGTTGTAGAAAACCGACCACAAAAGGCCATTTCGAAATTGCTGCTGGAGATTTTGATGTTGACGCTGATGTTGTTGTCGCTTTTGGTTAGCACGCAATTGTGTTAATTTTTTCCAGACGACCCGTTTACATTTAGTTGATTTTTAAACTTTTTTTTTACATAATTTTTGAGTGCAGAAAGCAAGCGGCTGATAGAACTGGTTCACTGTGCTACAAAACAAACAAAAACCGTTAAGCTGTTAGTGTTCGAGCTGCGCTTAGTTGTGGGGCGTCGTAATTAGGCCGACCTTCGTTTTCGATCACGTGTCCCCGATGTTATCGATAACTCTCCCCTCACTCCATAACTCCTTCCCTGAGCGCGAGTGCACTAAGCGAAAAACTTGTTGCTGCTTGCAAATGTTGAATGTTGAATGTTAAATATTAACAGTGGCGAATGTTAACAGTTGCATGCAAATGACCTCGCTCATTAACAAAACGCATCCGCATTCGTCTGCTCGCTCTCCCACACTCTTCCCACTCTCTAACATTCTCACTTCACTTCACCTCTCTCTATCTCTCTCTCTCTCTTTCTGTCTCTCGCTCACACGGATAATTTATTTTATGCTTACGATTTATGTGGCGCTGTTGCTGCTGCTGCTGCTACTGCAAGTGTTGTTCTTCTTCTTGTTGGGTGCTACTGCAATTGCCGGTCAGTTGCTGTTGAGACACACCTCTGCTCTGCTCAGCTCAGCTCTGCTCTGTTGTGTGTGCGTGTGTGAGTGTGTGACACTTGGGTAGGCCAGCGAATGAGCCCCGACTAAAACGCTGTCTTTGTGTCGCTTCAATTTTTATATAAAACCCAAGCCAGGCCAATGTGCGAGGGCCGATTCCCGATAAAAAATAATATATAAATAAAACAAGAAAAACATAAAAAAAATCCAATTCAAACAGAAAAAACACACAGAAAAAAGACCGAAGAAAAAAAATAAATATTAAAAAAAAAACGAGCGTTAAACAGAATTACAACAGAAAGTGAAAAAAAAAAAACAATTTTGGAAGAGAAAAATTGCGCTGCGACTGACGACCGATCTTGGAGCGATCGGCGCGTACTAAATGAATTGACAACAACAGCAGTCGCTGTCGCAGCAGCAGCAGCAGCAGCAACAGTCACCGTCGCAGTCGCAGCGAAGCGTCGCGCTGACAGCGAGAGAGACACGCATGGAGCGAAACATAACAAAATGAAAAAAAAAAAAACAAACGAAATTTACGTGTGAAGCCAGCCTGTGTCCATTGTCCACTGTCCATTTGTCCACTTGTGCAGTGTGCAGTGAGAATGCGTGTGTTGTTGGTGAGCTCAATGAGTCGGCGGCTGCTGCTGCTGCTATAAAAGTACTGTTTTTTTTTGTTTTTATAAAATGAAAGGTATGATGGATTTGTGCATATGTATGTAACAGGTCGCAGCAAGCTAGATGGAGACCTCAAATTTGAAGTATAGACGCAAATCAAGTTTGTTCTTTCAATTTCATCACGATCGGATAAGAAATATCCAAGTCATGTTGGAAAATATATGTTGATATTGACTAATTTCTATCAAAAATGAAATATGCGTGTGCATGTGTGAGAAAGAGATGGCTTGATGATCGGCGCGAGCGTAAAACTGTTTGTGTGTTTGTATTCGGCAGAGTCCACACGATTGCCTGCACATATACTATATATATGTATGCATTTATGTTTGTTGTGCATAGAATAATAACATTAATAATAATCTATATGCACTGGCTTAGTTTCTTTTATATTTTTATTTTACTCAGAAAACAGAATACTTCCACGCATGCTTACATTTGAGTTAAGCAACAAACTTATAAATTGCAATTTGGCAATAAAAGTGGAATATATTTAACAGGTGCTGGCTACAGGGTATATCGTATTCGAGCTCAGTCCACTACAGCAAACTTACTTGTTTTAGTTTTGCTCCCCCCCCCATTTTTCTTACCCGCTCTGTTGCTGCGTGTGTAGGCACTGTAAAGTCAGCGACATTGACTCTCAGCAGCGTCGTGCTGTAATTTGATGCGTCTGCGACTGCGACTGCTACTGCGACTGCTGCTGCTGCTGCTGTTAAGCTACTATTGCATTTCGTGTGCATTATCAATAGCCAATTATTGCTCACACACACACAAACACACACACACACACACACACACATACACCCTACTGAGTCGTGCGCAACGTGCATGTCAAACGGTCATTGTGCACTTTGCACTTACACAGACAGTGCCACAGTTTGAGGGGCACTATGCAACTGTCAATGCTTTTGTTCGCACTTATCTCTGAATTCTCTGGCTTGGATTTGGGCACACATATGTTATTATACATTTTCGCGAATTTATTACAGATAATGAAATACACAATGTTATGTGACGTCAGTCTAAGGTTATCGTGTATTTCTTTCTTTGTATTAATATGCATACATTGAAAAACATACGTTATTTGTTGAGCTCAACTCAGCTAGATTTTTACATCATTATTTACATGTAGGAAATAATAGTTATGGGAAATTTTTGACAACTTAAACATTATCTTTAACAGCTGGAAATTACCCGCTGATAACATGTGTGTGTGCCTGTGTGTGTGTGTGTGTGTGAAATAACATAAAGCTTGTATTTTTAGCTTGTGTGGTAAATTTGAGTCAATTGCTACAGGCAATAATTGTATATGTTTGTGTGTAATTTGAATATGTAATTTTGTGTGTGTGCTTGTGTGTGTGTGTGTGTATATATATATGACGAGGCGCAATTTTTGACCCACTTGCCATGTTTTTACTTTCTTTCGCCTTTTAATGTTGATCAACATCGACTCCCCTCCAATTAAGTTGTTTTATATTTTTCTTCAACTTCAGCTTCATTTGGTTTTTTTGTTTTTTTTTTCTGTCTTTTTGTATTTTGCGTATTTTGTGTATATTTTTGTTGCGATCGTTTCAAAAAAATATTTTCACTTTTGTGTACTGCGCTTTTACCCTTCTTGAAGTGCAGCAACCGGAATCCATTCAATTTCGAACAATCGTCTTTAGAAATTGTGGCCAACCAACAAGTTGGCCAAGTAGAACATAATACACATACAATGCTGCTTATTTTCACTTTGCTCTTGTTTATTTATAGGGTATGCGGTTAGTCGTGCATTTTTAGTTTTAGTTTTTTTTTGATCGTTCTTCACCTGTTTGCCGATCAGCGTTTAAATCACTTTCTTTGCGCGCTTTGAGCTTTTATTTTTCATTTATTTTGTGTTGTTTTTGCTTTTTTTTTTTTTTTTCTTTGTTGTTGTTTGGGGTCTATCGACCGGCCTTTCGCCTGCCCCGCATAATTTCTAAATGCATGTTAAATAAATGAATAACATCGTCGCCGACGTCGTCGGGCCATTTGTCTTTGTTGTTGTTGTTGTTTTTCCTTCTTCTTCTTTCTTGTATATATTTTACTGGTTTTCAAAACGCGATTGAAAGTGAAAGTTTGTCCAAGTTGAACTAGTAGCTTTAAAGTCGAACCACCTCTCTCATCTACCATCTCACTCTGGCTTGTGCCCTCTCCCTCTCCCGCTCTCATTCTCTCACTTGTAATCCGCTTGTGTTTTTTTTTTCTGCTCACTGCTTTCTACTTGAATTTATTGTTGCGCATTCTGGCATTCTGTGCCCAACAAATGCCAATCAGCTGAAGCGCTTGTCTTTACATGATGGATCATTACAAATCTGTGAATACTACGTGCTCATATTTGTATATATATATATATTTATATACACTTGGATATAGACATCTAATGTACTTTGACTGGTTTAAGAACTTAATTTATTTTCATCGCCTAAAAGCATGCAACACCTTTTCCCCGTCAAGCAGTTCAAACTATAAACATTTACTTTTTATATAAATGATTAATTCAAATGCAAATCAGCAATTTCTAATTTTAGTTAATTAAATTTACGAACATGGTTTCTATAAATATTGGATAACTATTTATTTATAAAATTGTCAAAGCAAGCAAACAAATCTGATAAAAATAAATCAAGAATCGCCCAAAACCCATTGTTCATTTCAAAAACATTTCTGACTCATTTGCGAGAAATGCCCGCAAGCAATAACTCCTGCCCCAAACGTATCTGATTTCTTCGATAAATAAATTTACATGATTTCACATTTCAGGGAATTTTTATGGAGTGTATAAAAAAAAAAGATAAACAGAAAACAATGGAAATAAATAAATAAATAATGTAATGCGTATAAATAAATGATAGACACATGCATGAGTCCAATATATATATATATATATATGTTTATAATAGTGCAAATATTTAATATTTGATTCTCGCCAGCTGTTGGGCGACTGTGCGTAGAAACTCGAAGGCCTCCTCGCCGGACTCGAGTATGTAGTGTGGCGGCATTAGATAGCCGTAACGTCCCTGATCCTTGAGGAACACATTGTACACAAACTGCGGCTGAATGCGATGCTGCACCCAATCGGCTGCATTGCCACCCCGCGCCAGCTTCTGCTTGAAGCTGGTGCCCATGGTGTATTCGGCATGATTGAGCCGGCGAAAATTGAGAACGGCCTGGCGGGCAGTTTTGCGCAACTGGCGCTGATTCGTCGTCACATAGTCGTCATCGCCCCAGGGATAGGTGATGGCCTGGCCATAGCCACCGAAGGAGACATACGCACCCAAATAGTCACGCATGCCGAGCAGAAAGTTGCGCATTGCTCGAGTTTCCGCTTCCGAGAAACTCTTCTCGCCATGATAGAGATTTGCACAGGCATTCGACGAGGAGCCAGCCTCACCCCAACTATAATCAAAATTGCGATCCAAATTGACGCCATAGCAGCGCGTGGCACTATCATAATTGCGATTCTTTGTCCACAAGCGATCGGTTAGGCGGGAGTACTGATAACCATCGGGATTGGCCAGTGGCAGAAAATACCAATCGATTTGATGCATCGACTTATCCGCCAGACCCTCCTCCCACAGCCAGGTCAGCTTCGAGATGGCATAGGTCAGAGCGGCGGGACTCAACCAGTCTCGTGCCTGCATGCCCGCCTCCACAAAGATCGCCCAGTTATTCGGATCGCCATTCGAGATTCTGTCCAATTTCAATTATCAACAAACGAAAAACAAATGAAAAATCGATTTATATATTTTGAAAAACGAACCTGAGCACTTCCAGCGGACGCTTGTTGCGTGTGATTCCAATTTGGATGATCTCCGTCAGTTCGGAATGATTTTCGAGTATATTCTGCATAAACTGTTGCATATCGGCCTGGTCGTGATAGCGACGCCATGTCAACAGTGAACCCTCCCGATTCAGCCATGGCAGCGAGTAATTGGCCAGCGTATTATCCGTGTCCGCCTCACTGATCTCCGTGTACGTCTCATCGATGGCCCTCTCGATGTCATCGATCATGATATTATAGGTAAATGATGTCTGTGCCATATACTGTTTGGCTGCCTCCACGTTCTTATGCTCGATAAGGACATCGATGCCATCCTGATTGATGTTCCATAGTTCGCTGCCTAAAATATTGCAAAAAGAGATAATTCGATAGGTAAGCCAAGTAGAGTTATGGAGTGTTGTTGGTTAATTTGATGTGCTACCAAAGTGACGTAGAAACCTTTTCAACTGGGGCTGACTGAGACGCGTCTCGTGCAGCTTCCACAGCTGATAGCCGTAGTAGCGCCGTACCGATGCATTATTCCGGTAGCGTCGATTGATCTGATACGTTGAGCCCGGCGATAAAAAATTGTAGCGTCTCAAATCCGTTGGCGACAACCACTGCAAACTCTCCAAGGTCGATTCGTACAATTCATTGCCATTGAGGGACAAGAGTTCCGGTAGTGTCGAGACACTACGCCAGATCAGAAGCGGAGCACGCGGAATACCGGCTAATCTCTTAATCCCACCAGTGGTGGTCAGCAGTAGCAGCAGTTGTAATAAACATAATCTCAACATCATGCTGCTGATCGTGCCACACAAACAGAACTAATTCTCGACACTCTCGCCGCTGATGGCTGATGGCCAGAAGGTCAAAGAATCTCTAAAGTTTTCTTGCCATTTGTTTTTATCTTTTGCTTTGTCTGCTTTTTTGTTGTTGTTTTGCTGTTGTTTTTTTTTATTAATTGACCCCATTGATTAATGCCATTTTTATGCGTAGAAACGCACCTGTTTCTGTTCAGCTGTCTGTCTGCCTACCTGGCTGGGCTTCTGACTGAGTTTCTGGCTGGGCGTTTCAAACTTTTGACATGCTCTATTCTATTCAAATGAGCTAACGGGGTTACGAGGTCAACAGCCCAACTCAGTTGATCCTCAGTTGGCAGAACTTTTCACTTTGCATATCTTTTGTAGCGATTGTATATATATATATATAACTAAGGATATTGAGTCTCAATCGATTAATATCTATTTGATTTTAACGTTTGCAAACCGTTGATTAAATTATTAACTAAAATTTGGCAAGCTAAGAATTTGTCCAGTTAGTTAACATTCCACGATTTGTGGATCTGTCAAAACGATTGATGGTTTTTTAAATATCTGATCGATGGTATCGATGACCTCGTCAGCAATTTATTTTATTTTATTTTATTTTTTTCTTTCGTGTTTTGCATTTACTCACCAAAGTCTTCGACAAACTGTGTGAATTGGGCATCCGGTGAATTATCGCCATTTTTGCGTGTGCCATTAAAGTTGAGCTTCCAGAGTTGAGCGCCCCGATAGCTGACGTAGTTCTCGTCGAGGGACATCCGCAGAGCTGAGCGTCTGGCCAGGCCGCCATTATCTGCTGTGGGGTCAAGGGGTCGCAGGTAGCGCAACAGCTGAGCGACCCCACCACCAAAGAACGGTAAACGCACCAAATTATCACCGGTGCGTGCAAAGAAATCGACACGCTTAGATTTGGCACTCGCTGCTGCTGCTGCAGCTTGTGGCTGCCACATGTGACACACGCACAACGCGACAACGTACCACCGAACGTATGCGTAATGCATTGAACAACAAACAAAAAAAAAACAAAAAACAAAAAATAGTACTTTATTTTTGTTGAAAACTCGTTGCGAGTGTTGAGTGTTGAATGTTGAATGTTGCTCGTGTGACCGTTGGATTCTGTTTGGCATGCGGCACGCAAATAACGGCTACTTTTTTGACTTTGCCATTTGGCTCTGTTCTCAATTCACCTACTGTTTCTCGTACACACACACACACACACACACACGCACAGACACACACACACGCACAGACACCACAAAATTTGCATAACTTAAATGGTCAAAACTTTTACTTTGCTCGAAATGTTATACATACATAATTGTTATACGCGTTGTAAGCTCATCTTTTCTACTTAGTCAAATGATTCACCATTTGTTTTCCTTCTTCTTCTTCTTCGTCGTCTTCGTCTTCTTCTCCACCATCCCCCCTTCATTTTTCCATCTGTCCATCTCCCTTTCGCTGCGTATAATTAGTATTTAATAGCTAAAGTTAGGGAATACCCATTTGTTGTTACACAAGATGTTTGCAGATCACCAACAAAATTTTGATGATCGAGTCTCGAGTCTAGTTTCCAAGTAATCTTCATCATCTGTTCACAGTGAATGCTCGATCGATTGAATATGCTGTGATCCTAACTGAATGAATCGCAATTCACATTCTCACCATCAACTATAGCGTGTCGGACGTATAACTTTGCTCCCTTTTCTCTGTATTGCTATGAGTATCGAAAATGAGCTTCGACTAAGTAAATAATCCTCTGTTAATCATCTAAGTATTAAGCTAACTGAGTAAACAATACAATATATCAATTTATTAAATATAATCAGCCAGCTAAAAGGTACTCAAATAAATGCAATATTTAATGATTGTCTATTTTGTAGTTCTTATTCTCACGTAAAGTATATGGCCTATTATTACCACCGACCTTTGAGCTTTGTGGTCGTCAAGATATTGCATCTTTTACTGCAGTTGTTGTTCAAGTTCACTGGTATTGTTGACTGTAAGCTAGCCAATCGCTGTGGGCGTCGAAGGGCGTATCGTCGATTGTTTCCTTTACACTCTGAGAGGCCTGTAGAGTCACTCCCTTAAGTCTTAAAGAGCAGCCTTCATTGAGCTCTAGAATGCCAACATTTTGTAATTTAACCAGTTGATGATGCGAGTATTCAAATGTTTTAAACAACTAGCGATTGTGGACATCCAATTCTATACAAACTAATTGCTGCTTGTGCTCGATGATTGCAGAAATTCTCTTCTGCCATCTTTCCACGCCCCGTTTCCCTGACAGACTCTGGTTTCCTCGTTTTCCCTACGGCACTTGTTCAGATTCGAGTCAGACATTGTAGAATATTGGCTGCAATTTCAATATTGCCTCTGTGCGATATGGCAGCATAGAAAACTCTTCATAGACACAGCTGTTCTTTTCAAAGGATCCGCTTTAGATGTTATTTCATTGCTTCAACACCAAGTTCTTCCCATTATCTATCTTTTTATAAATCCTGGAATCATCGTGACGACGATGTGCACGTGCAGCTGGCTCCAGTTCTAGAAGCATCTCCAAACGCTTGGACAAGGAGAGATCACCCCTATTTTCTATATTATTCAGTCTGTGCTGCAGCTCGGCCACCTGGTCTTTGAGTTTGTTGCGATCCATTTTGAGTTCGGTGAATTTAAACTGGGATTCGGATTTGGATACGGATACGTTGATTTGCTCAGCATTCATCTGCTTGACGGTGACGCTGTACTTTTCATCAGCTCGCTCAGCTTCTCTTCCTTATAGGCATTGACATACCTGTCATCCTTTTATAATACAAGCTAACTACTCAAATCTGGAGTATTCAGTGTTTGTCACTCGTCGAGCAGTAAAATTAAATATAATATTTGTAAAACGTACAATTTTCATATTCGTCTGCATATTCTTCGGTCTGCACTGGGTATGTAATCTTTGGGATGTGTTTGTGCAATTAATCTGATAAACATGACAAGAATTATTGATGTGGATTCATTACAGTCTAATTAAAGAAAGAAAAAGAACGACAAAAAATATGAATACTAACTCTAACGAACTAAAGAAATTAAAGAAAACACTCCGTGACGCAGGTGCGTATGTGGACGGCATGTCCATCGAGGAGATGATGGAAATGGAGGCCGTTTTGAAACTGTCCGTCGACAGTGAATGGCCCGAAATGCAGTGTGCTCTTCTGAAGAGCGAAATCGAGTACAAACTAATGCATAACTCGTCGATGATCGACCATCCGCCGGAAGCAGAAAATACAACTGCAACTGCAACTGCAACTGAAACTGAAACTGCAACTGAAACTGCAACAACATCGAATTGCCCATCAAATCTGGAGCCAGACTATGACGGTCCCTCAACAAGTCGCGGACGGCTCACCGCGCTAGCTCAGGTACATCACGAGCTCAACTGGAGTCCGGAGCGGGAGCAGCGTCCGCTCCGCAAGCGGAAGAGCAACGGTGCCGACAACATCGATGCGAATAATAAGAAGAAGAAGTAGGAGGAGATGTAGAGATGTAGGAGAAGTAGCAGGAGGAGGCAGAGGAGGAGAAGAAAGAGAAGTAGCAGGAGAAGGCAGAGGAGGAAGAGGAAAGAGGAGGAGGAGGAGCGGTTTGTCAGCCAATAACTCAATGCCATCGACTGCGCATTTGACCATCTGTGTGCGATTACAACAATACAGCTGTTCCGATATACCTGTTCAACATACCCTGTTATTATTATTATAATTGGGGTAAATATTAGATATATTGTGGGTTGAGGGCTTCTATGTCTTTGGAGCTCATAACGTGCATCGCAAGGATGCTGCATCTTTTCCTGGTGAAAAGGCGACACAGTCTGCTAGGATGTGCATTGAAGATAGTTCGCTACTGTAAATACCTAGTTTAGTTAGTTGACTTCTTGGTCTACAATGTCCTGTCAGTAGACCGGTGAGTATCCTCAGCCTGTCTTCCCCATGGTTATTACTTACTTATATCTAGCTGGTCGGATGCTGGTCCTGGTGTCTCTGCGCCTCTCTCTTTCTTCTATTGAGCAAACTGAAATCAGCAATATTTAAATGCTGGGTTCAGGGATCTGCTTGTCGAGTTCTTTCGATTAGAGCACATCCTTCTGGGATATATAGTGTTGTCCTTTGCCAATAGTACTTGCCGTTACCCTTAATGACCAATTCTACGAAAATTCCACCTTATTCATAAAGAAAAGCTCTCGCGGATTTTGCAATAAACATGTCTCAGTCTATTTTGGAATGTTCAATTTGTCTAGTTACAAATAAATAAATAAATAAATAGTTTCTCATATAAATAAAATTAAAAAAAAAAAATTCGGACTCAAAAAAAATTCATATTGAACTAAGTCTTAGCCAGAGCAACTAGCGACTACGGCGACGACTGCTGTCGCTGCTGCCGCTGCTGCTGCTGATGCGGCTGCTGCCGCTCCTGGCATCCAGGGAGCGTCCTTGGGCAACGGCACGGGCGACGGTATCGACAAAGGTGTAGCCATCGTTGCCATTGCGCTCTATGTGGCGAGCGGGCAGGACGAAGCCATAGCGACCCGTGTCACCCATCTCAATGGTGTACGCATATTTAATGCCAGCAATTCCCTTGGCCCAATCATCCGAGCCGCCGGCGGCCGGGTAGAGTGTTGTCGCCGATGATCCAACCGTATACTTAACGCCCGACGACTTTGTGATGATCTATGCGAAAGAGGATTGATTGAATGCCTATATCTATATCTATATCTATATCTATATCTGTATCTATTTTTATATATATATATTCATGGATGTGTGTACTTACCGAGCCCGCTTGACGCGCCACACGATCGAGATCGGCACGATCCTTTGTTAGATGATAGTCATAGCCCCATGGATAGAGTATGTACTGACCATAGCTGTGGAAGGACAGATATGCCTGGAACGTCTCCCTGGGGAAGCCACTAATATATTTCGATATGTAGAAGGTTTCCGGCTCAGAGAAGGCCTTGCTGCCGCGATATGTCTGAGCGCAGGGACTCGCCGAGGTGCCCTTGCCGCCCCACTTATAGCCAAAGTTACGATTTAAATCGACGCCAGGACACTGACGTCCGTGGGAGCGCATATTCTTGCGCCACAGCCGATCCGTTGTGTGGGAATACTCGTATCCATCGGGATTGGACACCGGGTGAATGTACCAGTTGATGTTCCTCATATGCTCCGGCAGCTGTTCCCAGCCCTCGATCAGCTGATGGGCCACGTAGGTGACGGTTGCCGGACTGATCCATTCGCGTGCATGCATGCCACCATCGATCCAGATGCCAGGATTACGTGCATTACCATTCGAAATCCTTTAATTGGATATTTTTTTTGGTTTAATTGTGATTAGATTTGATGTAAGCCGACTCTAATGATAAATGATTATGATGATTATTATGGTTACTCACTTGAGTATCTTGAGCGGACGCTTCTCCACGGAGTGTCCAATGGTTTCTGTGGAGCAAATGTCCGGATAGGTCTTGGCCATGTAGTCAATGAAATCGTGTATGTCCTGGAGACGATGATAGGCCTTCCACGTTAACCGTTTTCCTGCGGATACACCGAGCATAGACATAGTCTTTAAGTAAAATGCCAGCCAGCTATGGCAACACAAACTGACGAGTTCATTCAACCCTCTCCCATCCAATACCTCCACCCCCAAATCAAAAATAGAAATAAAGAAAGGAAATCAAGTGTCAAGTACTGAGAATACCATCAATGGCTCAATTCCCGTTCCGGCTCAAGGAAATTGCGTGTCATGCCTGTTATTGATTAAACAAGTGTCTTGCAAGTTGCAAGCGGGTATCTCTCACACTCAATCTCGTTCCCTCTGAGACAGAGCTTTCTGGCTGCAGTGCGTCCCGAGTTCAGGGTGCTCTGTGTGTGTGTGTGTGCCTCAAGTGCAAGTCGCGAGTTGTGTGTATATCAAAGCTGTCACAACTGTTCCGACCGTCACTCAATTTGCTGTCTCGATAACTCTCTTTTTACTTTAGCAACCCCTTTTTAAAATATATTTTTCATTTTTCCCCTCTTTTTCCTCTTGTTTTGTTGTTGTTGTTTTTGTTTCTTTATGACTTTTCACACGCCCTAACCATTAGCTGCATTAAAAGCTCATTTATGGCGACACCTGAGGCAGGGGTTAAAAACAAAAAAGCACGAAAAACAAGAAGAAGAAAAAATGCAGAAAACAAAAAAAAAAATGTTTGATACACCCTAATTCTCACCGTCGCGATTCTGCAGTTTGATTATTTCCTCGGCGGACGGATTCTCGACTTCGATTGCCTGCTGCAGGTTATCGATAAGCACAATGCGCGATAAATTCGCAGCGCGAATGTGTCGCTCAGCAGCAGCCAACACTTGCGGCTTGAGCAGATAGTCCACCTCCTGCTTGACCTCCTTCCACAGTTGTCCATCTGATGGGGGGCGAGATTGAACAATGGATTAGTTTTAAACAAAAAATTACCTTTTTATCGATTCGATGTAGCTATATTTACCGTATTTGGACTGCAGTTCGTCGGCCAGTTTCCTATCCTTATCCGTTTGGACGACAATGCGCCACAATTGGGCGCCATCATAGCGTCTTAGCTGTGCACTGAATGGGGTCTCTGTGACCGCGGCCATCTCTCCCCCATCCTGTTCCGGCTGCATAAGCGAGGCATTCACATAGTTCAGTACGCTGTCATTCACTTGAATTGGCTCCGGCTCCGGCAGCGACTCGGGATCTGCCATGTGCTGTGGAAGAACCATTGGTATTATGGTCGTCAGCATGGACTGCTCTGGCACGGATTCGGGCTGCTCGTCAGCTAGGATTTGAACTTGAGTTTCAGCTAGTGTTTCAACTGGTGCTTCAGCTGGAGTTTCAACTGGTGCTTCAGCTGGAGTTTCAACTGGTGCTTCAGCTGCATCTGGCATCTCATCAGCTAGGATTGGTGTTTCTTTTTCTGACTCTGCTTCGACGGCAACTGCGGGCAGACTAGCTTCCTGCGCGGGCACACTGAGCATTTCCTCCACGGGCATCATTGGCTCAGCTTCGTTTAGCGTTTCCTTCTCAGCCACCGGAAGAGCCTCCAGATCAGTTTCAATGGGTGTTTCAACTGGGGCATCAGCCAGAGTTGCCGCTGGTTCCGCAACGGGAGCATCAACTGGAGTTTCCATGAGAGTTTCAACTGGAGTTTCTACAGGAGTTTCAGCAGGAGTTTCAGCTGGAGTTTCAGCTGGAGTTTCAGCTAGAGTTTCAGCTAGAGTTTCAGCTAGAGTTTCAGCAGGAGTTTCAGCTAGAGTTTCAGCAGGAGTTTCAGCTAGAGTTTCAGCTGGCTCTTCAACGGGAATTTCTACAGGATGTTCCACAGGAGTTTCTACAGGAGTTTCCACAGGAGTTTCGACTGGTGCCTCAACTGGTGTCTCGACTGGGGTTGCTGCATTGGATTCGCCTTCGTTGTGACTTTCCGCCGCCGTCATATCCTCTTGGGCTGTGTCCTCTATGGGATCCGCTGGCATTGATTCCACCAGCTGTTGCTCAGTTGCTGTTGCCACTTCTGTTTCTTTTGTCTCCATCTCGTCAGAATACTGGAAGATGATCTGCTGCGCATCCTGCTCCTGCGCCGGCTCCTGTCCCTGCACCTGTACCTGCTCCTGTCCCTGCTCCTGCACCGGCACCTGCTCCTGGTTTTGTTCTTCGTTCAGTTCCTGCGGCAGCAGCTCACTTATGGCTTCACTGATGCTTTCCTCAATGCCCGCTCCCATGGAGGTCAGCAATGTTGAATCTGTGCTTTCCACTTTATCGTTCTCAGCCAGCTCTGACTTGGAGTCTTCCGTCTCTGGCTTGGACTCGCTATCCTCTTCTAGGTCCTCGAGAATAGCGGGCGTGCTGTATTCCGTCAGGTCATCCTCCTCCGCTTCTACGGGCGTCATTTCATCAACTGCTTGTGGCTGCTGCTCCTCGGTTTGTACCTGTGCCTGGGCCTGTTCCCCTTCCACTTGTGTTGTCTCGATTGCCGTATCCGGCATAGTTTCAACATTTTCCATTTGCTCCTCACTTTTGCTCACCGGCTGCTCCACAACATGCTCCTCAATTAGCTCCGGCGATGCCACTTCTGCAATTATGGGCTCTGGTTGTGAATCCGTGTCCGTTTGCGTCTCTGGCTCTGGCTCCGCCACCATCTCCAGCTCGGCATGTGACTCTGTCTGAGATTCGGCTATAATGCTGGGCAGCTCGACCAGCTGCATGGCCGGCGTATCATCGCTTTCCAGCATCAGCATGTCCGCAGCACTCTCTGCGTCCGGTTGGGCGTCGTCTTCCGCTTCGATTGTGTTGCGATGCACATGCTCCGTATCATCCAGCTGGCTGGCTATCGATTCCGGCACCAGCATATACATATCTCTGTCTCCCGTAGCCGGCAATGCGGCCATTTTCATATCATCTACAACAAGATCAGACGACAATGAGGAGGAGGTTGGATCTGCTGGCGGTGGCAGCTCGTTTCGCTCCAGCGCTAAACGTTCCAGCGACATGGCTGTTGCCAGTGGTTGTTGTTGTTGCAACAACAACAATAGCAAGACGCTTGCTGCTGTTGCTGTCATTGTTGTTGTTGTTGTTTGAAATATTATTGCTCTTGATCTCCCGTCGTACATCTTAGCGAGATCTAACAGTAAACCGTAATGAGACATGTCCCGTTGGTGGAGTGGCGCTTTTATACCAACGTTGGGAAAAGTATTGCCATTTCATTTCTCAATATTTCTCTCAGCAGCGACGTCAGCGTCGCCTGGCAACCTCTCAAAAGTCACACTGTGTGTGTGTGTGTGTCTCTCTATGTGTGTGTGTGTGTGTGTGTGTGTGTGTGTGTGTCTCTATGTGTGTGTGTAGCAATCGTGTTATGTATGTAAATTGTTGTAGTTGTCGCCGATCGCTCAAAATATGTTGCTGTTGCTGTTAACGCCAGCTGCGCGGCTAGCGGCGACTGCGACGCAGCAGCAGCGTCGAATGCTGCTTTTTATCGGTTGCATGAATCTTCATAAATGCGTTGCTTGTTGCTGCTGTTTTCTGTTGTTGTTGTTGTTGTTGTCCGATCTTTTATGTTAATTTTCAAATCGGATCGCAGACAGAAATGTCGCCAACGCCGCCAACGCTCTCGCTTTCTTTCAAGGGGTTGATGTGGATTGCAACAACAACAATAACAACAACAACACCTCTGTGTTGTTTTTCGCTTTTCTAATTTTTTTTTTATTTGTTTTTGTAACAATTTATGCTGTGATAACACATAATGCATAATCCCGGAGCTTGGACCAAGAACCTGTATGCCGAATATATCTCATGTCTCACATTCATTTCGTAGTTTGGATAACTAACTACTAAATTATCAATCATCCACATCGTACATAATATAAAGAAACACTTAAATCTTGCTTACAGCTAATAATAAATGAAATGCATATCGGATAGTTGTTAGTGGATGGTAAAATGGTTTTTATATGGAATCGCATTGTTCGTGGAACCTTTTAAATAATGAAACATGTGTTTCAAAACTTTAGATTCGCTCAATCTGAAGTTAATTTATTCCTTAGACCAGTAGCTGTTCACAATTCTATAAATGTTTTTCATATGTGTTTCACATTTTTCTATATGGCTATTTTGATATACTATAGCCAATAGTATTGTAGATTGTTTTAGCAGCGTCAGCAATAATATATGGATGATTAACATTATCAGTTTGCATTGCAGAGCCTTTAAAATACGTCTGACGATTTAAGTGCTCAGCATGGCAATTACGAATGAACCAAATAAATAATGAGTGCTGTTGTTGTGGGCGTGTCTGCAGCAAATATAAATATAGATAAACACATTTACTTGACTTTCTACATGCACATTTAGGCAGTCAGTCAGTCAATCAAACGATATTTAAAGCAATTAGTCGGAACTCGTTATCGATAACGAATCGATGTCAATTTGCACAATTTTCCACTGGTTAACTGGTGCAAGTGGATTACATTGTTGCTATTATTATTATTATTATTATTATTCTATTTCCACTGTTGTCTAACTAATGGGCAGGGAGATGGGTGAGTGATGAGAGCGATGGGGAGAGATTACTCGCCCACACATTATGCAAAATGTATATATGAAATCTTGAATCTTCTGCGACATTGATTGATTGCTCTGTTTCGCTGCAAGTTCTCAAAAGTCAAAGCAAACTTCAAAAGTTTCCAATTTAGACGCATTGACATAATTTCTTAATGAGCAGCAGCAGTTGTTGTTAATATTATTATTGCTGTTGTCATTGCTATCGCTATTGCTATTTTGCTATTACCCACGCTATGATTTACTCTCGCTCTCCAATCGGAAACGCAGCTCCTTTCACTTTACATATATGAATCTATATATATATATGTATATATATAGTATTTGCACAGATTATAAAGATAAACATATGTACATATATGGTAGTCTATTAATTGTCATTTGTGTTCAAGTTAATTGCAAATCTGAACTCGGAATCTAGAGCGCTGTCAAGCAGTGAAATTGTCCTTAATGCTCATAAGTACTCATGAATACTTACTTATACTTGACGTATGAGTGTTGTAGATAGAGTGAATGTTCATTCGCATTAAAAATCGTTTGATTATCTAAGTAACGATTTCGCTTGACTGAAAGATTCACTTTTGTTGGGATTGGGAACAAATATATTTGTAGATTTTATCATGATATTTGTAAGAAGAATATTCGAATTCTACTTTTGTATCTTAGAAACGAAACTGTCGATAGTAATTATCGATTAATCGATTGTGCAGCTTTACATTTTGAATTTGTAACTATAAAGTGTTCTCTTCAGATAATAATCTCAGGCAGGGAGTATCTGTTAATTCCATAATTGAGAATAAAAGTTGATAATTAATAGCATACAATTCTGATGTGTAATCATTTGCAGCATACTTCCGGGATGAATTGTACAGATTTTGAAAATATTTATAGGGTATCTCATGGCTTATGCTTGCTCACAACTCTGTGTAAATAAAGTATAACTTTAACTTTGGGATAGCCAAAGGAATCTTATTTGACATTTGAATAACTGTAGTGTTTACCTAATGATACTTATGAAATATTCAGGATATAGAGTTGACATGATACTATATCTATGTGAATAATATAAGCCAACTGATGAGAAAAACATATGCAAAAATTTGATTGCCTTTTTTTTTGTTTGTCTAGTTAATGTTGCCCTGATGCTTGTATATGAAATGGAAAGTGTGGATTAGTTGCTTCAAGATAAACAAAACAAAAACAACTTAAAGCTAAATCGATGCACGTACAACAAACAACATGAACAAATGTAGACGATAGTTTAAGCATAGCTTGGGAGTCGATGAGAAAACCAACCCAACCAACAAAAATTTAAATAATAAATGACCAAAAAATGGGCTAGTTGAATATTGTTTTTTATTTTTCGTTTTGTTTTTTTTTTTTTTTATTGTTTTTTTTTTTTGTATTCAAGGGGAGCAGCTTCCATTTAAATGTTTGGACAACTGCTTTCCAGGTAGAATCCATCAGCGAGCTAAGCGATGAAAGCAAAAGTGTTTCAAGTGGAGCGAATGGGCAAGTAAAGCAAAAACAAAACAACAACAACAAAAATGTAATGAGACTTTAAATGAGACTTGAAAAAGTGCTGCATACACACACACACAGACACACACACACACATGTGGACAATAGATAGATGAATGGGTCCGGAGCGGAGGGGCAGGGGGCGTGTGTGGTTGGAACAAAGTTGTTTGGGGACAGAGCCACGAACTTTCTTCTTCCAATATTTACGGTGCTTTATTGAGTGCATTGTTGTTACTGTTATATTAACAGCTATTGTTGTTGTTGTTGTTGCTGCTGTTGTTGTTGCTGCTGCTGCTTCACACCCACATCAATGTAATTATGTTCGTTGAAGTCTAAATCGTCATCGCTTACCCTTGTTAAATACTTATTTACACACACACACCCACACACACAAATAAGTAAATCATTGTGTGTGTGTGTGTGTGTGTGTGTGTGTGTGTGTGTGTGTGTGTGTGTGTGTGTGTGTGTGTGTGTGTGTGTGTGCACGTGTGCATGCGAGGTCTACAAGCGTTGCACAGTGTGTCAAACATGGCTGTAACAACAACATTATGCAAAACTTTCGTCTCTGCTTTGGGCGCCATCTGTTGTACTTTCGCAGAACTAACGCATTCTTAAAGCGTTCTCTTGTGACTGTAACTGAAGCAAACTGCACTTGAAGAAATGTATATCAATTAATATTGAGTTGAGCTTGTGTGCAAACTGCAACTGGACGAAAACTAATTCGCATTTATTACAGTTGTTCTCTCATCACTTTATTTAGTTTGAATTGAATTGACTTTATTCGAATCATTCATGTATAATTTATGTTTATTAATTTATAAATTCAAGCCATGCTATGCATATCCTTATTATTTATTATTATTTCGAATTTTGTAAGTGGAAAATAACAATAAATAATTAATCTAGATTCGTAGCTATGAAATCTAAAACGTTGAACGAATTGAATTACTTGTTTGTTGTACTTTGGCACCACTGTGCGCCGCTGGTTGCGTAGTTGTTGCCTCTGACTGGTTTCTCAGTTGTTGTTCTTGTTTTTGTTTTTTTTTTTTTGGCCAGAAGGAAGGAGGAGTGGGGGTTGGGCAGGAGTCACGTAGAAACTACGCTGATGCTCATTGTTTGCCCATGTTTTTGTTGTTGTTGTTGTTGTGGTTATTGTTATTGTTGCTATTTTGGCCGGCATTGGCTGGTAGCTGGTAACTGTTGGCTGTTCGCTGTTAGCTGTTACCGTTAGTTAGCACACACCCAAACAAAAAAAGTCGCCGGCACTTGGCAGGCGCACTTTCACGAATGCCGAACTCAAACTAATCCGTAAAATTTGTTTATCTTTTTTGTTTTTGTTTTTGGTTTATTGCTTGTTGTTTGCTGTTTGCTGGTTGCGTTTGCGTTTGCGTTTTCTCGCCCCATCGCCAGATGGAGGAGCTAACCGAAGCGGAGGACAACCAGGCACTGCCGGCAGTCCGGCAGGCTCGCAACGGCCAATATGCGCAGCGGCCAATCGCACCGATGGCCAGCTACAGTGAGAAGGGGGTGGGCCACTCGCCGAAGCATCTGGTCAGCACACTGAGCTCACCCATCGAGCAGATCGCGTGCAGCGTGTCGCGGGAGCATGTGCTCAAGCTGGAGATCGAACAGCTGCAGGAGCAGCTCAAGGACACCGAGGAGCGACTGGCATCGGTCCGGCTGCAGAGTGAATCCCTGTCGCAGACGCAACGGGCACTCCGCGATCACAATGGTCGGCTGCAGGAGGAGTCCGAGATGCTCAAACTGGATGTGCAGCATCTGCACGAGTGTGCCGGTGTGTTGCGCAGTGAACTGCAATCGGCACGCCGAGATCGCGACGAGGCCATTCAGCTGCAGCGTTCCCTCCGCTCCGAACTGGAGGAGGCTCAACAGGAGCGACGGCACGCGGCCGATACCAAGGAGAAGGATGCGCGCATCATACAGGATCTGCAGCGACAGTGCCGCGAAATGGAGCGCATTCTCATGCGCAAGCATCCCGACTCCGTATCCGCTTTGATTGGTGAGCATATCTCCTGGCCCTCTCCCCCCGCTCCTTTCTCTAACTCTCGTTCGCCCACAGTTGCATCGAAGAATCCGGGCATTTGCTCGCTGAACGATCAGGAGAATGTGACCAGTCGCAAGCTGCTGGAGCAGCGGATCGCTCAACTGGAATCGGATGCCAAGGAGCAGGATCGCAAGGCTCAACAGATACTGGCCAATGTTCAGGCGCGCTTCAATTCCGTTCAGGCCAAATACGAGACGCATATTGCCGATCTCGAGACACAGGTGCTCAGGTGAGTTGACAGAGAGAGAGACAGATAGGGTTAGATAGATCAATAGATAGATAGATAGATAGAGTTGTGTTCTAATTGTCGCTTGCACAGTTTGCAGGAGATCAATACGAAGCTGAATGAGCAAATTGAATCCCAGGTGCGCACTTTGGATCGCTATATGCAGAAGCGAGCGGATCGTTATTACAATAATTGCACCCAAACGGAGGCACTGCCTCAACCGGATGTGGCCATCCACTGCGGCCGTAGTCAGTCCATCACATCAACGGGCACCCAGACGCATCCGATGGGCGCCACTGGTGTTGGCGGTGGTGGCTCGATGCGTGACCACAGCACTAACACCATTGGCTGCCCCTCACCCAGCGTCATCTGTCAGCAGCATTTGCAGCAACAGTTGCAACAGCAACAGCAACAACAACTGCACTCAGCCGGCAGCAGCAGCACCAGCAGCACAGCCAACTCAACGCCAAACACATCGCGTCCAAATTCCAAACAGAGCGGCAACCAGCGACGCCATCCGCTGCCCATCGGCTCCAAGTTGCCCATCTCGCAATCCGATTCAACATTATCGCTGCACAGCCACGGACATGGACCACTCTCGGCTGGCAACCACAAGGAGGACACTCAGCTGCTCAGCTCGGTGCGCAGCATGCGTGTCGATTTGGCCATCAAGAACAAGGCGATGCAGCGACTCACACGCGAGCTGGATGATTGCAAGAGGACCATTAGGAAGCTGCAGCGGGAACGGGAGACGACTGGAGCAGCAGCAGCAGGAGGAGCAGGAGCAGGAGCTGCAGCAGCAGCTGTTGGAGTTGGAGTTGGAGCAGCTGCAGCGGCGACTCTTAGTTCAGGTAAGTCTCCCCCTTTCCCCCTTGCCACATACATACCTGCATGTGTGTGTGTGTGTGTGTGTCACTCGGTCGCCGTTCGCTGTTATTGTTCGTGTAATTTATGGACTTTCTCTGCTCGTCAGCACGTACAAGATTTTTTTTCTTTTATTTTTAGTTTTTTTTTTTTGTTTTTTGTTTAAAGCCAAGCGACGAGAAACACGCAAATAAATTGCTGAAATAAATCATTGCACGCCTGTCCAAACTCCTCAACAAACCCACTAACCCCTCCCCCCTATCCCCCTTTCCCCTCCCTTGCCACACCACCCCCTCGCACCCCCTAACTCATAGCCGGCAAAGTGAAGCAGCCGCTGGCGGCCTTTTGACCGCACAACTACTTTTTTCATGTACACACATACCCTGTACATATTGGCAGTGGCCGGAAAAGGTTGCCCAACAGTTAGGCAACATCAGGCACAAGAAGAAGAATGGATAAAGCTTGTATAAATATTCTTGATAAGTGTCAAGAGACAACAGCTAACAGTATTGATAAATATCGATAAGTACCAAGAGATTATAACAGCTTAAAGTATCGATAAATATCGATGCACAACTTCCGCTGCTGGAGCACTTTTGTATGCTTACCAGATAGAATATATACAGAGCTCAACCAATTTTTCCCTGTCTCAAATAATCCAAGGCAAGCATTCTAATAATGTTTATCTACCCCGATATCGTAATGAATCGTAATGAAAAAAAAAAGATTTAGGGCTGTGTGGCAATGGAATTTGTCATATTGAATGCCAGAAGTCAACTGCAGGGTATCTGCTAATCGAGCAATCTCGACTCGAGCAAGACTCAATTGCTTCTCTTTTTTTTTTGCACTCATTTCAAATGGCCAGGCTTTTGTGTACGTGTGTCGCTTAACCAGTCGCAGACACACACAGACAAACTAGACACGTTAGCAACTAGCCCTGCCACCGCCGCCCCCTTGGATGAGTGGCATCTCGGCCACTTGGTTATGTCACCTTCATTGGGGGACTCGTTTTTGTTGTTGTTTTTATTTTTGTTTTTTTTGTATTTATTATTTACATTTCATCGATTTAAAATTTTTGCTTAGTTTTTTGTTGCGACGAGAGAAAGAGAAAAAGAAAATTCGAAAGCGAAAGTCAAAGTCAAAGACGAGTCGCTGGCTGGCAGCGGGTAGGGGAGATCGGGCTGGGCGGGGCGGGGGGCGCGTGAGGCGAGCTGTGGGCGTGGCTAACGCGTTTGTCGTTTGCGCGTGCGCGCAACGTTTTATAATGCCCCATGTCGCTTGTTATAGTTGCTGCTGCTGCTGCTGCTGCTGCTTCTTCTTTAATGTCGATGGTACATTTGTTGCTGCCTTTCTGCTGTTGTCGCTGTAGTGCTAATAATAGCCCAGCGATAGCAGCAACAACAACAACACCAACAACAACTTTGTTTTAATATTGTACGCGTGTTCAAATGCAAATTTCTGGTTGGCTCGTTATGCAATCAGCTTCGAGGCTCTTATTTAATTATTGTTATAAGTTTGGCATCTATTTATTATTTATTTTTTTTTTTTGGTTGTTTTATGTTGTTTCATAGTTTTTGGAAACTTTAATTTGAGAGACTGACACTTTAGAGTGCGTTGAACCCCGCAACTCTTGTGCAAGTCAAAATGCTTACATAAATTTATCTGAGCTGGCTTCGAACTGCTTCTAGTGAATTCTCTTGCGACTAGTTGGTATGCTCTAGTCGAGTTAGCTCGACTCAAACCCACATTTTAAATACACATTTGTTTATACAATTCAGGAAAAATAATTTTTCAGCGTTTCTTATCCGAACTTAATGCTGACATCTGATTAAATATAAGTCTGGTTATATTTTACATCAATTGGAAGCTTAAAGGTATCTCTTTTTTTTGCATTCGACGTAGGTTTAGATTAAAGTTACGACTTGTCCATGTTACAATAGTTATTTAAAGTTATTGCTTATAAAATATGATATACTCCTTCTTCATCCAGGAGCCAGTGGCCGATTGGAATCAAAACTGCAGGCTGGTGGCATTTCTGCCGGTTGTAGCTCCGCAACGCGACGTCTTCACGACCACCATAATCATTATCATGATCATGTGCCAGCGACAACAGAGACCCAAGCGTTGAAGGAGGCACAAAACAAATACCACCTGCTGGAGGCCGACTATAAAACGCTGCACGACAAGCGACTGCAGGATGTGAGTTAGCTTTCGTTATCTATGTTATCTAGCCAGCTGGCTAATTGGCCATTGATATCCATCTGTTTATCTGCTCCTAAAGCTAAAGACTCTGCAGGGTGCCCATGATCGCGAGCTGGCGTCCTGCAATGATACTGTGCGCATCCTGCAACAGCGTCTCAATGAGCGCGAGGAGGCATTTGCCACACAGAAGCGACGCAAAATCCCCGTCGACTACTATGCCCTCAAAGCCAAGGTATATATATATATATATATATATATATAGACGAGAATATATCAATCACAAATCCAAAATCCAAACAGATATCATTTTGTATACAAGTTTCTACAGTGTATGATTTGAATATATGTTTTAATGTTGCAGGTTTCGCTTCTGGAGCGTCGTCATTCGGAGCGGGAGGAGCGACTGCATATGCTTGTGGAGGCTCTCAGCAAGGGTCGCCTAAATGGTGCCCTCGAGGATATGTTGCAGGAAAATAACAACAAGTAGACAGATCTAGGTGATCTAGGAGATTTAGGTGGAGTTGCAGTTCAATTAATGGCTGAGTTATCGTTATCGTTATCGTTATCACTATCATTATCGTTCGGGCATCAAGCAAAAGCTCTTCACAAATTACAGTTGTGTCTCAAAACAATGGAATATTTTTTATACATTTATTACGATTAATCGAACAAAATCGATAACACTTACAACACAACATGCAAAACTCCAGCCAAATTGTATTTGTGCATGTTTGCATGTTTTTCCTTTAAATATTGATCTCGCCCTCAATCTCAGCCAGAGTTCAAGAGTTCGAGCCATATTTAGATATGGCCTAGCATATAAGCAACTTAAATAAAACCAAAAATTGTTGGCATCCTCTAAATTAGGGGTATTGCTGTCTATATATTAATATGTATGCTGATATTTGGCATACTTTCTTAACAAAAAAAAAAGAAAAAGAATTATAGTTAGTTATACTTGTGAGATTTGAGTCAACATTCTGTCAACTGTCAACTGTCAACTTTTTATTGAAGTTTTTACTCGACTACGTTAATGATTTAGAAGCAAAAATACTTTTCAGTTTTGTATATATTGAATATGATTTAATAATCGTTGTTTTTGAGCATAGACATTTTTTGGAATTTAAGTGCAGTAGTTTTATTTACTTGTATTTGCATTTGCATTTTTTTTGTGTAGTCAACTAGTAAGTGAAAGCCCTCCGCTCACCAAGGTCAACTTTTAATTTATTATTAACGATAATTAATAATAAATAAAGGTTATGATAGTTTTTAACTAACGTGTAGGACAACAAAAACAAATTATGCGTTTAAAGTAGTCATTGAACAAAAGAAAAAAACAAGAAAATTCAACTTGTTTCAAAAAATACACCATAATGAAAGAGACAAAACTAAAAGAGAAACATGAGAAAAGAAGCCAAAGAGCGAGATAGACAGATAGACAGATGAGCAACAACAACAAGAAATATTCTGCTATCTGCCATCTCTTTCGAAATCGGGTTCCCAAATTCTGCCAATGAAAAGTTGTTTCCGTCAGAAATATATGATGTATATATCATATATATAGAAATATATGGTCCATCCAGAAATACTGACGATCGATCCACATGTTGTCGTCAGTTGAAATGAATAAATCAAAAGTATTATGTATTTAGCCAGTTTGGTGCAACATCGTAAGCAGCCCCCATTTCAATACACATATAGAGTATATGCAACATATGCAACATATATGTATGTCTAACAAACAGATGGGAGACCAAATTTAAGTATTCAATTGAAAATTGTATGTCCGTCTTAATAATATATAGAGCCCGTCAATTCGATGTGTAGCAAATATTTTAATGATTGTTCCCAGTACTCAATATACAATATAGTTAATCCATACTCGTGTATCTCATATACATCATACATCTACTTATACTTATTATACTCGAAATAATTTGTCGTACAATTGTTAGTGTTTAATGTTTTAGAACCTTGAACTGTGAGTACAGGGTGACGAAATAGTCGTGCAATTCTCCATCGACTATAGTTTTCTCGTCTAGTCTTAATTGTATGTGTATTTGTATGTGTTGTGTGTCTGTGCGAGTACTGTACTTAGTAGGCTATGCTACAACATCATCATCATTATTATTATTAGAGTACACACTTTGAAAAAGTTGCACAACCAAAACCAAGTCAAGCTAAATTTCAAATCTGATATCTCATAATCCTAGCCGAGGCAAGCATCAAAACAATGTCGAATGTCAAATTGCAAAATTGCAAAATTGCAAAATTGTACAACAACAATGAAACAATTCAATGAATACATGGAAATACCAAATAAAGAAATAACTATCTAAGTATACACAAAATAAAACAATTTCAACTCGTTTCATTTTATCACGTTTGACCTTCGCCTTTGGAGGTCAGCAGACAAAAAATGTGCAACAAATTTAAGAAATCGATAAACAACGCCTAACTTGGTCATTTCAAGGGCAGGCTGGTTGGCCTTTGAAGCAAAAATAGTCCTTGGCCTGCCAATTCGAGTAAAGTAATAAAAAGGGCAAAAGTCTTTTAAACAGCTTATAATATGTTAATATATTCTTGCAGATCGGAACAAACCTCATGTCGAAAATTTTGGGTGGACCAGGACTACCAACTGGCCAAAGGACATCCAAATCGTGCTTAAAGTTATCGAGAAAGCAAGGATTCTGTGCGATTGGAATTTTAACAAGTGCCTGAGTTCCCAGATGACTCCATTATCCCTGAATGCAGTTCGTTAGAAGAGGTTCCCGAGATGTTGGCGCACTGTGTTCTTTGATCATCTGTGAAGATTTGCCCGTGTTTGAGATATTATTGTAAATACGACATACATTTGAAGTCATACGAAATTCAACCCAATTTATTTATTTCTCGGAAAACAGCTTTACCCGCCTGTCACCTGTCTAGTTGTGGCTTGGACTGTAAGCTGTAAGCAGTTAGTTTCACAGCACATTCCTTTCAGTTTTAGTCACACACACCAGTAGCAGTTACACAGTTCGTCCGATTCGGAAATCAGACACACAATTAATATTTGCGAGACTCTGAAGTGAATTGAATTCGATTCGATAATGTCTGGGGATGTGCGTCGAGGACGCCGTCGTCGCATTGAGCCGGCACGCATACAATATGGCGCCTGGGATGATCCGTGCGTGTCCTTGTTCGCAACAGTGCCACAGGAGCCCGTCGCCGATATGTTGAGCCGCCTCAAGCGATTGCCGCAGGAGAATCGCAATCGACTCAACGAGATGGACGCATCGCCGCTGATCGTTGCCCCCTCAAACGAGACGAATCGCATGTATCGCGAGGTAAAATACCAGGTGCAGCAGATAGCCGATGATCGCAGCAAGCAGAAGCATCATTCCATGCAGGAGAAGGAGTGCCAGACCACATCGATTGCCAGGACGATGGCCGAGCACAAGCGCAAAGAGTTGGCCGAGGCAATGCGTCGCAAGCAGCTGCACAACAACTCGCTGCGATTGAGGGATCTGCACATCGAAATCAATCGGGCCAAGACGACGCTAAGCGTGGTCCAGAAGCGCAATGAGAATATGCAAACGGTTGGCGCGGAGCGTGCAGAGCGGCACAGGGAGGCCCAGCAGGTAATGGAAAAGGTGCGCGATGAGAAACTGGCCGAGGAGCGGGCATTGCAGATGAAGTCGCAGGTGTACAGTGAACAACTGGTTGCCCAGATACACAAGGTGCAAGCGGATAGGCATCGGCAGCAGCAGTCGGCTCTGGAGGAGGGACGGCAGAAGCGTCACAACGATGAGATGGCCGATGCCAATGATCTGCAGCAGGCAATCGTGCGGCGCCACAAGAAGCGCGATGAGCTCAAACACATGCTCGATGAGTGCGCCGAGTTGCAGCGCAAGATGCGTGAAGCGAACGCAGCCCACAAGTCCGACAAGTTGGACGTGATTGTGATGGAGGCAGTGAGTCCGGTGACCAAGAGTTTTATTAATCAGCAGCTGCAACAGCGACATGATGACATTGAGCGGCGTCGTCGCATCAGCGATGGACTTGGACAGCAGCTGACCGAGATGCGCAGCAAGAAGGATGCCCACGATAATATGCTGGCCGACATTCTGATCTGTGAGCGGCAGGCGCGGGAGAAAAAGCGCGCCCATCAGGACATCCAGAAGCGTTGCAATCAGAAGCTGCAAGTGGCCAAGGATCTGATCGGGCAGCAGGAGGAACAGCAATTCTATCGCGACAAGGACGAAGCACTCACAGCAACGATTCCAATTACCCCAACCTGTTTCATGGAGCGCCAATATCAGCAGGCCAGCGAAAGGGAAGCGACCACCAGGGAGATCAATTTGAGGGCGCACCAGGAGATTGCCATCGATATCGAGCACAATGCTCAGGTGCGTGCCGCCTTGGTCGAGGAGGAGCGCCAGATTAAGCAGGCCCTGCACGAAATGGAGCTGGACATGGAGCGTCGTATCGATGAGGAGCGCATGCGTCTCCTCCACGAGCAGAGCCCCCAAATCATCAACGAGCTGCGTCCCTGCAAACTGTCGCATGTCGAGCGCCAGACCTTCAATCTGCCCTCCTGCATCCACGACGCTGAGGACACTCACACCAAGTAATCAGAACTTCAACTAAGACTACACTCTACTCTCCACTTCCCCAATCAAACACACACAGCTCATTTATTTGGCTGGCTCCCAAGGCACTTATTAACATGGCTTGTTCCTTGGGAGTCAGCCAAATAAATACATACAAATACTATTTATTAAGCATATTATGCTGCCTAACCATTAAGTTATATTTATATTTATTTATTTATTAAAGGCAAGGCTACAAAGCAATTTCTGAACTTACTGGCGCATTATAGGAGTTGCCAGTGCTTTCGGGTCCATATTTTTATTTATATATTTGTAGATAGGTGGAAAAATAATACAACTTTTAGTGAAGCTTGAAATATCCATCATAATTCCACCATGTCCTTCGGAAATATGCAAGGACATGGCCGAGTTAGAGCCTTATTTGCGTTATCTGTGTGCCCCTAAAATGATGCAGTGATTTTGTTTGCCTGAGTGCCATTTAGCCAATGCAGCAACCTAATTTGTCCAATTTGGTTTGTGCACATGCTATCTATGCTAAGCAGCTAATTTATAGATATTTACAGTCCGGCCTTGTGAATTAGATAAACAGTGTATTCAGTATTTCAATGCATATATTTCAAAATAACAACAAAATCGGTTTGAACAGATTTCTATTTTTTTAATTGCACGGTTCCCAATGAATACTGTTTCGCTGGTCAGCGTGGTATGAACTTGATGTGGATGCCATCCCGGGAGCGGAGCACCATTTGGGCTTCAAGCACCAGCTTGGCGTGGGGTTCAACTAGTTCCAGTCTGAATCGCTGGACAATGCGAACGGTGAGCAGTTTCATCAGCAACAGGGAATACTTGCGTCCAATGCATACATGCGGTCCACCCGAATAGGGTATATAGCTATACGGTGTCGCTGGCATCTCTTGGTGCAGCCAACGCTCTGGCCTGAACTCGTACGGTGCTGGAAAGTAGTCTGCATCGTGGGCCAAGCCGTACATGTTGATCCAGATCGTGATTCCAGCGCAGTATCGACGCCCCCCAATTGTTGTTTCCCGCGTCGTCTGGCGTCCAGTGCTCGGGACTATGGTGTACAGGCGCAGCACCTCTTTCAGCACGGCATCCAAATAAACAAGACCACTTAGTGCATCCCAATCCTCCTCAGCACAGAAATCCTTTAGTTCCGCATGCAGTTTCTCTTGCACTGTGGGATGCTTTCCCAGAGCGTAGAGCACAAAACCCATGGCAGCTGTCGTCGTGTCCACGCCCTTGAGAGGAGGAGAGAGAAAGAGACAGAGATAGAGATTGAGAAAGACTGATTAATTTGCGTCTCAGCGAGGAGGAGGAGTTGGCACCACTCACCGCAAAGACAAAGGTGTTGACTTGATCCCGTATCTGCTGATGATTCCATCCGGCTAACAGCATGGCATCCAGTAGAATGTGTGGTTTTGTTGGCTGCTCCTCTTCTTCTTCGTCTTCTTCTTTGTGCTGCTGGTCCTTCTTTAGTTGCAAGTGACGCTGCTGTATGATGTGCTCCATCTGTTGATGTATCAGTTGCAGCTCGACGCTCAACTCGCGCCACAGTCGCGTTCGCTCGAACACCCAATCGGAGGCGAGCAAAGGATTAATCATTCGCTTGAACAGCAACTGGCCGCTGCGATGAAAGGCAGCCACAATGGGTGAGTGTGGCAACTGTTGCAGTGCCTGCAGCTGGTAGCCCATCGAGGTATCTGATCAGAAGTGAAGAGCAAGAAGGAGCAGTGAGAGGAGCAGCACTTACTCAGCTTAGATCACTCACCGACAATGGCATCGAGGAGGCAGGCGAACAGATGATCCGTCACCTCGATTCCCATCCCATTCGTTAGCTGCAGTTTGTCGAGCAGGCGATTTGCATGTTGGTTCACAGCTGGCGCAAAGCTGCGCAACAGCTGCGGCTGAAAGCAGGGGGTGAGGAGGCGACGCTGTACCGCCCAGTCGCGTCCATGGCTGATAAGCAGTCCGTTGCCAATCAGCGGGCCGAGCTGCTGGAATGTGGCTGCCTTGCGCAGTGTGGCATCGTTGAGCGCCTCTCGCGTCTCCTCGGCGCTGTGCAGAAACACCCACAGCTGTGGTCCCAGCCACAAGCGATAGGTGGCGCCAAAGCGTTCGCGCAGCTCGGTGAAAACCAGAAATATATCTGCAACAACAACAAGCAGCTCGTTTAGAAAGCAAAAACAGGAGCTCACAATTATACACAACTCACACTCGGGCTTCAGTTTGCCAATCATCTGTGCATTGCCGAGTCCTGGCAGCGCCCAAGGACCTGCCAGACTGCTGCCCAGCAAGATCAGCTGCCGCTTGCTCCACAGCAACAGCAGCAGCAGCAACGAGACCAGCAACCAGTAAAGCGACATCGCTGCAAACCGATCGACTGAAGTTCAATGGAAAACTGACTTGGCACAATCAGCATTGATTGCTGCTAATCCAATTGAAATTCAATTGGATTCCGATTGCATTTGCAGTTAAGCATAAGAGTCACAGCGGCTGCAAGTGCTCTTTTCTATATATATGTATATGTATATTTGTACGGTGCTTGCCCGATAATTCTTCCATATATATATGCACATATATATTCCTCATCATTTTTATTGAGCGTCCACTGTTGGGTGTCTGACATGTCTGGATTATGTGTATGGCTTCCAGTATCTAATCTTGCGGTAGTCAGCCGGCAATTAATGTTTCCCCTTTCGAAGTGCAATCTACGATTATTATTGCCATATACACGCGAATTTCTGAGAGCTATTGTTTTATAGTTGTTTTCAATACGGCTTGCGATCGTTTTTGCATCAGCACTTTAACATTATGTTACATTTAGCAAGCAGTTCATATTAACCCTTTCGCTGTTAACTAACATGCGAGCGACCAGTAAAACTATTGACACTTTGTGGATTATATGTAACACTAAGTTACTGTTAACAAGCAGTTCATATTAACCCTTTCGCTGTTAACTAACATGCACGCAACCAGTAAAACTATTGACTTTTTGTGGAATATATCGTATGTGGAATATCGTTTATTCAAGAATATATGTATGGATGTATATGTATATATGTATATGCATATATATATACTTGCATATATATAAATATATATATATATATATATACGCATTCCTTTTCCATATATGCAGACACCAAAAATTTGTAATTTGAGTATTATATTATTATCAATTGTTTGTTTTTTTTTTTTTTTTTTTTTAATATAATTTTGTTTTTCTTCGTATTTATAACAGCTATGCTCGTTATGATTTTATGGCTTCGTTTTATTGTTGAGAATTATTTCAATTGCCGTTTTGCAATATTTGTTTAACACAAGTTGCTTGTTAACATTTACATTGAATATAATTTGTTTCTTTTTTTGGGTTTGATTTATCATACGTTTTGATATATATAAATATATATATGTATATATATATCTATGTTTTGACAACACTCAAATACTAAATTTTTAGTTTAATTATTTAGTGTAAAATTTTGTTTTTACTCGTCGTTTTTCTGTAGTGGGCTTGTTTACGTCATTTTTTGGTTTTGTTATTTGATCATCAATATTTCAACAATATATCGTTATTTATAAAAAAAGTTAAATATTCAATGTAAGTTCCTTTTTTGTTTGTTTTTAATTCTCTAATGTAATTGATTTGTTATTAAATATTACGAAAATTGCGTTGTATATTTGTTAGCTTGTGCGTTCCATACTTGACAAATCCGTTAGATATATATATGTACATCATATATATGCAAAAAATCGATTATTTCTGTTTGTTTTTATTTGTATTTATTTTTTGTTTTAATTTTCGCTTCGTTTTGCTTTGGAGAATATAAATATTTAAATATATATATATGCGTATGTTTGGAATTACGATTACATTCGATAATCGATAATCGATAATTGGCAGAATCATGCTCTCAAATTCCAGATGCAAAGCATGTATATGTATATAAAGTTTTTTAGATGGCAGGCCGAAAGTTGTAATTGCTTTGCGTTTTTGAAAATGTGCGTAATTGCTGAGAAATGGAGTCTGAGAACATGATCGCAATATTTTAGTTTTTGTATAATTATTTAAAAGTTTCTACGGTTCATTTATGTAACACTTGTTTAACTTTCTTTCACCCAAAAGTATTAAAATATTCTTGTTTGTTTTTGTTTTTGTTTTTGTTGCATTCGCATTCGTTTTCAATTACAATTGTAAATCTCTAATTAAATAGTAGTTAATAAAGCATTTTCCCTACTTTTGGTGTTTGGATTGCTATGGTAGTAAATTGGTTTTACTCATTTGTATCTTATATATTTTAAATGTTATGCTTTCAATTTTCTGGGTTTAAGTAAATTTGTTTAATTAGTTATCGTTAAGCGTTTTGTAATTGGTGTTTTGTTGTCGTCTCTGATTTCTTATTTGATTTGTTTCCATCCTTTGGTGTTTGATTTCCTCTGTTCTGCTTTGTTAGTGATTTTTCATTTGGCATTTTCTTCATTCGAGTTATCCAGCTATCCAGGCATATATATATTTATATGTATATATATAGTATGTCATATAGTACAGTATGTCAATATCCAGTTTCCGTTTCATTTTCCAATTATTCTGCCATTCGTTATTCGTAAGCTAAGACTTTGCTTTATATAAAGGCCTGTGCGATTGCCCAGATTAACAATTTGCACAATTATGGATTAAATAATAAGTACTATGTATGTATGTATGCAAGTGTATATAGGTATATACTATGTATAATACTATATAATAATGTTATCAATCGTGTGTTCATCAGTTCAGATAGGAGGTTTTTGGGGTTTTCTTTCGTTATCGTTATCGTTATCGTTTTGTTGTTTGGTTTTCTTGGGGAGGCATCGAGGACTACAACTAAATCTAAAACTCGATTAACAAACGCAAAAGCCGAAGCCAGGCTTCGGCATTACATTCACAATTACAATTACAATTACTATTCGATAATAACTAGCTACACGCCTGTATGCATGACGTATATCGTGTGTCGATATCGTACAAATATAGTAGATACGACTGCTAATACCACCTTCTATATGTGTATAAATACTAAGTAACATGCATTCTATCTGGAATTGCTTTTGAGAAATCGTGCGAATCGGCCAGAAAATTGCGCTTTCAGTTTATACTTTGTGTGTCCAATTAATTTCTGATTATTTGCTTATTTTGTATTTTTGTTGTGTTTGTTGTTCGATGATTGGTTGGCGTGAGCTTTATGGCTCACGTGTGTATATTGGACCAACAGATCAACAATCAAAATAAGAGTACAAAATAATAATAATAATAAACACAGCACCCAAAATCAAGTTAGTTGAAATCAATGTTGGGCGAAGTTTGGCAGGATCCCTCTTAACACTTTTGTGTAAAGATTGGCAAACAGTGCCCGATAAATAATCGCATGCTAAAACTCATAAAATCAATAAAAACATAGATAAATAAATGAACAAAAATGAAAATATATATGTTTAAATGAAGGTTTTGTTTTCTTTTAATTATTGCATATAAAATGTTTTTATTTTATGTGTAAATACAAATATTTAATTTGTGGTTTTGCTCTTTGTTTTTTTCTTTTTCTTTTGTTTTTGTTTTTGTTTTTTTTTCTGTTTGTTTTCCTTTTTTTCTTGCTTGCTTTGTTTGGTCGTTTGCAAAATCAATAACAATTTTAAAGCACAATCAAAATAAAAGCTAATTTAAATTACAAATTTTTGTTTGATGTAAAATAGATTACTCAAAATGTTTGCTCTGTATGTGTGTGTGTGTGTGTGTGTGTGTAAGTCAAAAATCGCAAAATGTCAAATGTTTTACAAAAATCAAACAGTTTGAATTTGACTTGTGCATGTATATGTACATATTTGTAAACGTATGTGTGCTTGTGTGTGTGTGTGTGTGTGTGTGTATGTGTGACATGCTTAAATGGTGCTTTCAAAAGTTTTTCTCATACTTTGCACATTTTTTTAATACAAAAATAATGCACACACATTAGTAAACTTAGATTATAAAGTACATTAAAAAAAAAAAAACATTATGAATTTACAAATATAGTTATTAATAATATAATCGTAATAATAATAGTAATAATAATAATAATAATAATTATAATTGTAATGCCTAAGTTGATTATCATTTAAAATGTAACACAATAAATTTGATAAGTTATATTCGTACGGTCCGTAATTAAAAATTAAAGCAAAATACATTATTCAATCCAAAAGAGAGAGAGAGAGAAACAATATACAGAATACAGTTAAACAGTTATACGGTTAAACAGTTAAACAATTTAACAGCTATACAGTTAAACAGCTATAGTTAAGGGTTCTTTTTTTCAGTTAAGAGACAGCATTGAATAAAAACCAAAAAAAAAAAAAAACACTTCACAAAACGAGAAATTGAGTGCGAGAAACGGTTATATTTTTGTTTTTTTGAAAGGGGTGTAGGCCACAAAGGCTGGGAATCAAACGAGTTAGAATAGTATTCCTGTTGTTGTTGTTGTTGTTGTTAACAATAAACGTTGCCGACGCAACCACTCTTTGCACATTAAATCATTAACTTAAACCTATTTATTTTGTTTTTGTTTTTGTTTTGTTTTTTGTTATTGTTTTGTTTTTTTGTTTTTTGTTTTTTTGTTTTTAAGATATATGTGTATATATATTTTTGTAATATTTTTATACAAGGCAAATTCTTGATAAAACTTGTTAATATTAATAACTTGTAAGTTATTTCTTCTGTTTCTGCTTCTTCTTCGATTACACATTTTCCTCCTCTTACATTTCTTTGCTGGCATTCTTCAATTCAATTTAAACTCTTTCTTATGCGCTTGCCGCTATTCCGTTCACTTTATTTTTTATCGCTTTATGCTTATTTACTCTGTTCGGTTCTTCATCTTCTTCTTCTTTTTCTGCTTCTTCTTCTTCTGATTCTTCTACTTGTTTTCTGTTTTGTTTCGTCGTATGCTTATTTGTCCTGTTTCTGTTTTCTGTTCTCTCCGATCTGTTCTATTCTCATTCTGTTCTCATTCTCATTCTCATTCTGTTCCGTTTGACGCTGTTATTTAAATCACAATCAACGCTTATTATTTTTTTTTGTTTTTTGTTTTTTTGTTTTTCGTTTTTGTTTATCAACACTTACAACACTAAAACAATATGCTGGTATTATGTATATATATATGTGTATGTATAATATTATAGATCATAGATCAAATATATATTATAGATCATTTTCAAATCTGGTGCTGCTGCAGCCCATTTACAAATTACAAATTGTTGTTTTTCATCTTGCTTAACAACTAACATACAAACATGGCTTGGGGGTTGCTTTATTTTGCGGGGAGCGGGGAGCGGGGGCGGGGGCGGGGGCGTGGATGTGGGTGGGCAAAATGGGGGCGAGTTGCAAAAAAACAAAAAAAACACAAAAAAAAATTAATTCGACACAACAAACATAAATAGATTATGACGAACAATTAAACATGAAACAAATTCTCGTTGCGCGCTTCGTAGAAAAAGGGGTTAGAAAGTGCGTGAGTTTGGAGAGTGTGTGTATGTGTGTGGGGGTGTGCGTGTGTGGATGTGGATGTGTGTTGGTGTTGGTGTGTATATATGTGTTTTTAGAAACTCATTTGTCATGCTTTGCGCGGTGGCATCGGCGGCGGCGGCAGCGCAGGCGCAGCAGCAGCAACAACGTAGGCAGCAACATGTTGCTGCGATGGCTGCTGCTGATGTTGCTTTTGCTGTTGCTGCTGTTGCTGTTGCTGCCTCAGACTCATGTTCATGTCTTTGGGAATGTTTTTGTATTTGGCTGAAAGATGATGGGACTGGTCAGCAATTTGAGTAAACCAATCGGCCGGCTCAAGACCTGCTGCTGCTGTTTCTGCTTACCTGCTGCTGCTGCTGCAACAGCTGCTGCTGTTGCTGCCCCAGCTCCCCCTGATGCCAGCGAATCGCTGTAAAAATTTGATTTACGCATTTGGACGCCGTTGCTTAAAATGTTGCCATTGCCATTTGAATTGCTGCAGTGATTGTTGCTACTGCTGCTGCTGCCGCTGCTGTTGCTGCTGCCGTTGTTGCTGCTATTGTTGCTATTGCTATTACTGTTGCTGTTGTTGCTGCTGTTATTATTGTTGCTGGCACCCAGCAAGGGTGGCAATGGTGGCTGCAACTTTGAGGCATGCTTGTTGCCAGCAATTGTTGTTGCGGCCAATGGTTCCGCCGCTATTGTTGCTGTCGCTGCTGCTGCTGCTGATGATGATGATGATGTTGCTGCTGACTTAATCGATACTAAACTTAGATTAGAAATTGTTGGTGGTAGTGGAGATCTTTGTGAATCATTGCCGATTTCGCCAGTGTACCTAAAATGCAAACAAATTATGCTTATTAATATTAAATATATTTGCTCAAGTTCAGCTTAAGGTGCCACTAAGCAGTGCCAAGCAGTGTAAGTAAATCAATCGAGACGCACAGCAAGCAGTGCCAAGCAGTGTAATAAGCACACTCAAAATAATAATTCGTTTAGTCAACAATTAAACACTAAAGTTTTATATTCACTGCAAATTTGAGCATTTTTTGTTGCTTCTGCAAACTCCGCAAATGCCAATTAAGTTGAAGTGAAGTTAAAACTTGAGCAACTTGACTAAATCAATCAAAATCGAATTAGTTTGCTGGTTTGCGGGATTGTGGGATTGCTGGTGCTACTCACTTGATGTTGGTGTATTCGCGTCCAACTTGAAGGCTCTGCTCCTCGGCCCGCTTGCGAGCTATCAGCGTCTGTATATAATGCTGTACCGCATAATATACGAACTTGTACTGCGCCTCCGTCTGCACCATGCCCGAACGCTGTGAACGCACCATCTGAATTGTTCGCTGTATATCGATTTCAGTGTCCAAACCTAATTGGCATAAGTATTTACGTGGTAAGTATTTTAAATATCTAAATAAATATATAGTGGGAAGAAAGAACAGCAACACAGCAGATCGAGAGAGAGAGATTCTCAGATTGTGTGTTGAGCGTCTGTTATAATTCTCAAGTGAATGTTATATGCTCTCTCTCTCTCTCTCTCTCCCTCTCTTTCTCTGTCTCCCTCTCGTTGTAGTAACTAGACTTTTATGCTTACCATTGCGCACTATCTGATCGAGTATCATGTCGATCACAATAAATGTGCCCGTGCGTCCAATGCCCGCCGAGCAGTGCACACAAATCGGACCCTTGACGAAGAGAATCGATAGGTTAGAATGGGAGGTTGATTGGTTGGTCGGGCTGGTTGGACTTACCGGTTTCTCGCCAGCCTGGGAGAGGCTGCTCTGCTTGGTGTTGACATCCTGCAGGAAGTTGAGCACACAGCCAGGATCGGCGGGAACGCCATGATCTGGCCACACTTGGAAATGATAGTGATAGATGCGACGCTCGGGCTTATCGCGCCACGAGAACAAAAACTCACGCAACGTATAATCGTTGGTGGAGTTCTCCTTGATGCACTGCACCTTCGCATAGCCAAACTGTTTGCACTGGCCCTCATCGGGCCAGTAGCGTTCGCACTTGGACTTGCCGCGCTCGATCTCCTTGGTGGTCATGACAATGACCCGTGTATTCTCCTGCCAGATCATGTTCCAGAAATCGTTCTTCGTATTGGCCAGACAGCCTTGCGTCGCAATATATGTTTTGAAGAGGCCACTCTCGCTGCTAAGCAGCGAACCCGTCGAATGTCCACCCCACGACGAGAAGGATGTCGATCCCGTCGAATGCGTTGCCGATGGAGGCGGCGAGGATGTGGCATCGCCGCAGTGTTTCTTCAGCAGGACAGCGAGACAACCGTTGAGCGATGAGCCCGTTGTTGACGAAATGCTTGGCGTACTCGCTCCGCTGAGACCCGATGTCGATGTGCACAACGATTCACTGCGTCTGTGCTTGCCCAGCGTATCCGATTTGCGATTGCAGGTGGCGCAATTTGTGGGCAACGTTGCCGATTTGACAGCACACTGGACACACGTCTTGTTCAACAGCTGACAGTTGGTGCAGTTGCGCTGTGTCTGGGCGGCGGTACACGCCGGACACGATTGCACCGAAGCACTATTGAGGCTCTCCGAGGAGCTGGTCATGTTGTAGAGATCGCCATCGGTGGGTAAACGAATGTAATTGGCATTTATATACTCGGCGCCCGGTGTACTCCTATCCACATCCTGCAGCTTGACCCGAGTGTGATCGTCTAATCATCATTTCAAATGCCCAATTAGCATCAATTTCATATTTGCTGCATTGCATTGAAGATCAATATTTACTTACATGGCAATATATTGCGGTATCGATTCTTCGATTTGTTCTCCTCCTTGTAGCCCTCGAGGCGCGAGAATGTGTCTCGGCTGTCCTGTTGCAACGATTCAAATTCCTCCCAGAAGCCGCCCTACAATCGACCAATGTTATTTATTGTTTTTTCAATGTTCTCAATAAGTCAATAACAAGACTCACCTTGACCAGCTGCTCGACGCGTGCATTGATGCCAGCTGCAATGATGCGGGTCGCATTGAAGGGCTGGCGCAGATGCACCACTGTGCCGCATGTCTCCACCATCGGATGGCGTTTATAGTGCTCGATCAGTTCCGATAGAGTTGCAAACGATTCACCACCGCCAACGTCGTATTTTGTATCCTGTTCAAAGTTATGAATTCAAATCGATTAGTTTGCGCTGCACTCTCAAAGCAAGCAGTTCATTCTCAATGTTAACTAACTGTTAGCAAATCTGATCTCTGTTATCGCTGAATTCGTGTTCTTCTTCTTTTATAGACATCCTTTTTTCTATATACTTAGGAAAACTCGACTTTCGTAAGCAATCTGTGCTTAACTTATGTTCTCCACAAGTTTGGCATACCCTGTCATCAGCTAAGTGAACTGCTGGGCAGTCGCTGCTGGTAGCTTTAACCGCAATAGCAGCGAAATTGAATTGAAAAACGCTACACAATTAGCTAATAAAAGTGCAAACGTGACCGCAATGTCGAATTGAGAATTGAAAAAAAAAAAACTTATAATAATAATGCTCAACCGGTCATGTAAATCGCAATATTCTACAACAACAAAAATGGCGTCAAACAATAATAACAACAACAACAACAAAAAGAACCAGAGCACTACCAACGACACCAGCTAGCACAGCAACAGCAAATTTGTATGGGGATTTACAGTAGTTAGTGCACAACAATATATTACCGTTTGGAAATATATGGGATTGTCATGTTTGGATGTAACAAACAAAACAAAAAAAATTAACTGCAAAATTCCCGTGTCAATATTAGTTTCTGAAATGCTTACAATTACTGCTGATTTGTGTAAAATACACACAAAAATAGAATGAAATGAATATGAGCTAGAAATAATTTGCAAACCTACGCCAGAGAACGGTATGCAAGCGCATTGAAAACTGTAGAAAATTCGGGTATAGACGTAGTAGTGGTAAAATTGGACTTTTCCCTCAATTAAATTGGTACTTTTTCCTTTTTTAAACAGAGACACGTGTTTAAGATTATACATATATAATTGTGTAGTTAATTATATTTATGTAAGAAAAATAAATACAAATCTCAACGCAAAGAGGTGCTGGCCCAGCAAGCAGTGCAGAGCAGTGCAGCCAACAGGCGCAAGAGTTTGGTAAGCAGTGTATGAGTATATTACGCATACGCCACCAGAACAAACGAATCAAGAAATCGCTACAGATGACAATAATCACATATTATGTACGAGGCACATGTTATGTGAAACTACTAGCCAGACGGATGACTAGGCAAATATATATATATATATATAAATATATGTATATATATATATATGTATAATATATATAACTAACTCAAGGTCAAACGATGAGGAACTTTACGGCCAGTCAGTCAGTCAGTTAGTCGTTGGCATTACTTGTCTTGGCTGTTGACATTGTTGCTGTTGCTGTTGTTGTTGCAGTTGTTGTTGTTGTTGTTCTATTAGCTATTAGTGCTGCTGACAAGTTGTGTTGTCGAGCAGTGAATCGATTTGCATTTGCATTTAGTATTATTGGGTGGCATTTGAGCTTTCAGCACTTACCTGCCATCTAATCATGACATGCGTCACTTTGTCCTCTGTACGCACGGAGAGGACAAAATCACCTGGTTTACTTTGAGATTCACGGACAAGAAACGAACCATTCTTGCCACGCTCCAGTATCAATTTTTCAGCTTCTTTGCCAGAAAGGTTGCCGTGAAACCATCTGCAAAATACACAAAAAACACAAACAAAAATGAAACAAATGTTTTACTTGACTATAATATTATTATTATTATTGGACTTTAAGTTTATAGAAATATATTTAATAGTTACGCGTGGGTTTCTTGAGTTTAAGCGGCTGTTCTGAGTGAACGGTTTGAACTGAAAACTGAAATCTGAAAACTGGACTCCTGACTCTGCTCTCCGTATTGCTGTCTCTCTGGCAGAATGTTGTTGTTGTTATTATTTTTCTTTATTTATTATGTGTTGTGCTGGGTTGTGTTTATTTTCTTGCTACGTGCGCGCTTGAAATGCAACTATGAACTGCACACACAGCTATTTGCCAGGCATGTGAGAAGCGCTAAGCGCTAAGCGACAACAACAAAACTAAAAACGATGCCGACAACGACGACGACGACGACGACGACGTCGATGACGAGTAGGAAATCCAAATAAAAATACAAACACACACGAGTCGTGTGCGAGTGCGAAAAACGAAAACGAAAATGAAAACGAACACAAATCGACATCGAAATTGAGTTGCATTGCACCACCATCGCACCACATCATCGCATCGGTTCAAATACGCGCGTGTACACTCAGAAAAAAAAACTGGCATAGAATCCCAGAACGAATTTTGTATTTGCAATTTGTTCTTGACTCATTATTGATAGATGATTTTAATTGAAATGCTTCAATTCAATGTAGACCTTATGAGTAATGAGCTTATGCATTGATTGCACTGTTTGAGTACTTCAAAAAACATTCTTTTTTTTCAAATTAAAATGAATTTCCGTTCTTAGTTTTGCTGAGTGTACGAGTGCACACACACAAAAAAAAAAAACAGTAAAGAAAACAGACAACTGCAAGGCAAACAACAGCAACAAAAACAACAAGTGCAAGTTGCTGTTGCTGTTGCCTTAAGCTGAGCATATAAGGCATTATCGCAGTCGCCTGTGATGGCCAGACAGGCCAGTTGACATAAAGCACTATACATATATATACATACATATACATATATATATACATGTATACATATATGTGCAATAGTTTGACACAGATAGGAAAAGTCATCAAAATAGTTGGCAGTCAATCAGTTGATTTCTGTTTTGTTGATCTGCTCAAAAACAGCTTAAAATCAATTACCAAAGCACTGCTTACCATGCCGTGCAAGCAGTGCGAAACGCTTTTCTCAAATGCAAAAGTTGAACAACAATTTTCATATTTAAAGTAGATATAAAACTAGTTCATAGCAAATAATTTCGCACACAGATTAGAGGGTATCTGTACCTATTTTTCTAGAATAGCCTTATTTGTTTGTCAGCAGTTGTTGTTGTTGTTTTTATGCTGAGACGCGTTTGGATTTTGTTTTCGTCTTTGAAAATGTTTGGCAAATAGCGTTGAGCTCATTTGCATAAATAACACTAACTTAAAAAACTTGCTTTGAATTCGGAATTCGAACACAAATACCCAGAAAGAACCCAATTAAGTTTCAGTTTCAGTTGGGTGGTTGACTGACTAATAAAAATGGGTGGAGCTTCAGGTAGATAGATACGATTGATAGATAGATAGAAGTCAACGTCATCTAGACGGTTTAGCACTTAGTTGAGTTCGTCGGCATCTCCGAAATATGTATGTATTAAGTAATGCTCGTAAATCGGGGCAGACGAGCGACATTCAAAACCCAACATACAAAACAATCGAAAAGCCAGTTTCAATTTAAAGTTGTTGTTTGTTCATTTTTTTTTTTTGGGTTCATAGTTATCATAAAATACGACGAAAGACTTAGGAGACAAAACACATGCTCCCCACTCCCCCATTCTCAATGAACGATTTATCTTCCGCATGTAAAAGTATGCGAGTGCTATTTATAGATATAGTTAGACACTTGACTTTACAATCGTTGCAATGCACACTTCAACTACAATTACATATTCAAGGTGGTCCGGACGGAATAGTTATGCTACAAATGATAAGAGTTTCGTCATGTTTATGTCGACGATGTGCTATTTTTAGCACCCGACCGGAAATGGCATTGAATCGCATCGAGTTGTCGATAGTTCGATAGTTCCAATCGATATCGATAAGTGCAGAATAGTGAATTGATTGCTTTTGTGCGCACTTTCAAGTGGATTAGAACAACTTGCCCATTTCAATTGTTATCAATAATTTGAAGCGCTTTTCAAGCACTTAAGACAAATATAAATCACCAGATTGAAGCTATAAATTATAGTTAAAATGCGAATTCAATTTGCAAACCGGTTTCGATCAAAATGCAAATTCAATTTGATGGTGTCGCAGCAGCCAGCTTACTGTCGGCCACAGTCTCCGCTCGAAATTGAGTAAATGCAACTCTGATGCTTCAATAACTTTACTTTTACTGTACTTTTTATATTCGATTTGCATATTTTCGTACATATTTTGTAGCTGCGCATTCTTTTATCTTCTTTCTGCTTCTTCTTCTTTTATTTTATTATTATGTTTTTTGTTTTGTTTTGCTCTGTGATTCAACACAATCGAGTTGGCTTTTTGGACAACAGTCAACAGACCAATTAGCACCTTTCTTAGTGTCGCACAAAATGTATAAGCACGTCTACCTACCCCCCCCCCACCCCCCACTCATCCCTCTCACTTCAATTACCTTTGCCACATTTTTACCGTGTCCCCTTTTCAACTGACGAACCGGCATTAACTGTTCAATCTGAGCAACAATTACTTTTCACTTTAATAAAGGAATTGTTTTCTTTACTCAGCGTTACATCAATGCCTTGTATACCCTGTAAAATATGGGGTGTTCTGTTTAAGGCCGTTTGATTCGTTAGGATTTAAAGTCAAGCATTGATATTGCTTAAAAATGAGCTTTGTGCACAAATTGAAAATAGTTTCCATATGCGACAGAGTGAAAAACAAATGACTTGCAGAGGCGACAGAGGGGGACAAGATAGGGCATCCCAAGGTCGATCATTGTGGGGTTAAGCACGCTTGCTTATTACAGTTACAGTTACGCACAGGAAGCAGGCGAGTATCTCTTTCTCTTTCTATATATAAATATATATATATATATATATATGTGTGAACCTGTTGGCCATTCATGAATACGAAGTCGTTGCCAAAAAGGTCAACAAACAGCGCAGCTCAGCTCAGCTCATATAATTATGTATATATGTAGATCGCGTATTGTATATTGTATATTGTATATTGTATAAATTAGTATTTGTCACAAGTTGAGCATTTTGTGTGCCAACGCACCTGCAAAGCAAACGAGCAGCGAAGCGAATTAAGAACCGAAAGCTGACAATCTGGAGGCTGGACATACATACATATATATATACATACATATATACATACATACATATATACATACATACATATATACATACATACATATATATACAAACTTACAGGAACCTGGAGAAAAAGTGCTGAAACTGAGATTTTTATCCCTTCGTTTTGCTATTCAAATTGGATCATTCTTCAATATCGAAATTTCTAAATCACAAAATACTCATTGCAAGCAAGTACAAAATTTGATTTAAGCTGATTTCGTTTTAATTGAAGATGACACGCATAAATGAAGAATTTTGTGCAATTGCCTAGAATTTTTGAAACTGCTCGAATTTTAAGTACAAAAGTCGAAGATTTTCTATTTGATCTGGTTGATGTTAATGCCCATTGCAAATAAACTGCAGTTGTTAAATATATTTTTAAATAAGACACAGCCACAAATAGGTTACAAAAACATCTCAAAAGATTTCCATTCTCAAAACTGAACCGCATACACAGAGCATATATGAGTCACATATAAATAAGCACATTACATTTTTTTTGTTTTTTTTTACATTCACATTAATTTGATTATCAAAATCATTGAACAAGCTAAAACAAAAATGCTGCTTTTGATTTATTTTTCTCTATCTTTTTTGTAAACGCTTTCAAACGGATATATGCGAAAAGAAAATAAAACCATTAAAAAAAAAAACAATATTTAAAAAATGAGTTAGCTAACAAAATGGAAAACAATTTGCATTTGACAGCCTGCACTTGAAGCTGTCAAGGCAATCGAGAAGGGGAGAATTGAGGGGTGCACTTTGACTTTGTGGCGAAGAGGGGGGTGCGGGGGTGGAAGGGGGGATGATGTGATGAAGGGGATGCTGATAATTGTTACGCAGCAATTTAAACGGTAAACTGCGAAATGAGCTAAACAGCGAGTAAATTAAAACTGAACAAATACGGAAATAATAATAAAACAAAAAAAGAACTTGATAGTTGATAATATTACAAAATCCTCGAATCCCTTCTGGATAGATTTTACAATTTTTAATTTATAAAACTAAGCTAAACTAGAAAATTATAACTGATTTAAAGCGAGATAAATAACTGCAAGCTAGGCAAATATAAAATTCTTCAATTAGAATTGTTAAAGCTAAAAATCTAACAATTGGAATCAGAAGGGAAAGCAAGATTAGAAAAATATTCAACGATCTAACGAATGTGAGCTAATAGTGTCCACAGTGATAATATTAAATGGAAAAGAAGCTTAGAATTTGGGTTATGAATGCCATAAATACTTAATGCTATTACAAATATTATTATGCTTTAATCTATCAAATGCAAAAAAGTTTCCATATTTGCTCTCGAAAACACAAACAAACACACACACTGAGAGACTATCAACAAAGGCACACACACGTGTGTGTGATAATAGTGTAAACAGAGACAACACAAAGAATCGAAAGAATGGGCAAACAAGGCAGATAACAGTGAGACAGAAGATAGAAGACAGCAGACTGAAGACTGAAGACTGAAGACAGAAGAGTTTGCATAGAAGGCAGATCTAAATCATCGCCAGATACGAGCCTGCTATATAGATACAAATACATACGCATTAACAGATATAGATACAGATAGAAATTCCCGGTAAGTGAGATTTTATCTGATTTATACAGCTTTCAAAGCTCGCTTATGTGTTAAGCCATTTAGCCATTTAGCGTAGATTATTTCATTAGAACTCTGTCCGCAGCCTCTAAATGCAAAGATCAATAAATAGGCCAGACGAACAGTAATTGCAAAAGTGACAAATACCCTGTACAAACGAAAATAATAGAAATCTAGAATTGTATACCCTGTAGTTAAGTACCGTGAAGCATTTTAGCTTAATAGTTGTGTGTTCAAAGATTAGCAAGAATACGTTAAGATATTTGTTATTTAATTAAAAAACAAGAAGAAGAAGCTGCAGACTCGAGTATACCCTGTAATTTGGTACTGCATAATTGAGAGATGGCTTGCTAAAAGCTTGGTAAGGATACTTAAGTAAACACAATATATATATACGTATATATATATATATATATATGTATATAAATATTGAAAGCTGTTCGCTCAGATCATAAATCTAAACAAGAAAGCGCAAAATCAATGAAAAATTGATGTGCAGGCGTTCGTTTACCCATATTTATAACTAGACAAACAGTGTGTGCGGTGTTTGTCATATATATTCATATACACATATATATCTAGATATATCTATATATATATATATATATGTATATATGAATATGTATTTATTAGAATGTCACTAGGCCCACTCAGTTTGATGTTGTTGTTCTTGTTGTTGTTGACGCTTAAATATTTACCCATTTGCGTGGCAATTTTAGGCACATGACAATTTGTTGTTGCTTTCGCGAATGTTGTTGTCGTTTTTGCTCTGTGATGAGCTTATTAGTTTGTTGTTAATGCCAACCAAAAACAACAAAAACAACAGCAACAGCAACACCAATAAACATTGAGGCAATAGTTTAATTTGTGGCGTGCACGCGCCTCTAAAAAAAAAGTGACAATAAATAATAATTAAGAGCGTACATGACTAGCTAATACCCTGGGACCCATTAATTCCATTACTTTAGCGTTTTCTTTTTTTTTTTTTTGCACCCAAATACAACATTTTGTAGATCATTAAGCTGACATAAATCGGAGCAGGGCGGGGTGGCTGTTGGGGGTTCTTTTCTGTTCTGTTCTTTTCTGTTCTGGTCTGTTCGTCATTTGCTGTCATTTCATGTAAATCAAATTTACATTTTTGCTAGTCAATAATTTTTAAGTGTTCGCGCAGGGTATAATAAAAGGTCGCACACAAAAAACAAAAAATAGAAAAAAAAGCAGGTGTTAATTACGAGCGCGTTTTAAAACGCCTGCGATTTTAACTGCTTTGATTTTTGTTGCTGTTGCTGTTGTTGTTGTTGCTGTTGCTGTTGTTGCTGTTGTTGCGACTTACGTGTAGCCGTGGAGTTGCACACGCATGGTTGCAAGGTGCGCCAGTGTGCCGCTGGAGCCGCCAAAGGAGCTTGGCGCAAAACTGGGCGGCGATGCCGTCCACGATGTGGGCGTGGCCGGATACGAGGAATTGTGACCATCGCTGCAGCTGCCGCTGCTGTTGCCGCTGTACCTGTTGCTGCCGTTGTAGCTGCTGCAGTTGCTGACACGCGGCGTGGCAAGCAGTGGAACGGGCAGATGCAGTGATTCCGTTGAGGAACTGCTCGATGAGCCACCAGGAATGGGCCGTGTCGACGACCGACGTCTATTTGCACGACTGTGTTGCCTGTTGTAGTTGTTGTTGTTGTTGTTGTTGTGTGCAACGCCGCGTATGATTGATGCCAGCTCATCGTTGCTCATGCAATTCTTGCACTCGGCTGTTGTTCCCTTTGTCTTTTGACTCTTGGTCAACTTGCTCTTTGAATCTCTTCTGCCCGCTGATGTTGTTGTTGCTGGTGTTGTTGTTGTTGTGTTCGTTGTTGTTGTTGTTCGGCCATTGCCGTAATGCGCTTGAATTGCGCGCTCGTATTCAAAATTGCGCTCCTTATTATAAACATTATTATTATTATTGTTATTATTATTATTGTTGTTGTTGCTGTTGTTGTTAATATCATTCGTGTTGTTGCTGTTGTTGTTGTTGTTGTTGTTGTTGTAGACCTGCTTCTCCTGCAGCTTGTGGTTGACAACATGTCCCAGCGAACTGGACAATTTCTCCAGGCACTTGTTGAATAACATTTTGTTTGCTTTTCTTTTTAGCACGTTTTTTCTCAGTATTAGTAACTACTGCACTTTTTTTCACACACACAACACTTGTGTTTAAATAGGCAATAACAAAAACAAAAAAGTATCAATAAATAAATATATGGAAAACGAAAGACAAACAAATTACGCAAAAGTTACACTGGCGAAAAAACGATGTTATTGATTTTACTTGTTGGTGTTGGTGTTGCTGTTGTTGCGCTTGTGTTATTACACAACTTACAACAAGAATGAGAACTTGTTGCTTTTTATTTTGTATAAATAATAATAGTCTTGCGTATGCTTGAAAATGTTTTTCATTTGTTTGTATTTATTGGATAAATTTCTTGAAAGCCGACAGAAATCTCTTCTCTTTGGCTACCGTTGATTTCGTTGTTGTTGTTATTGTTGCTGCTTTCGTTGTTGCTGTTGTTGTTTTTGTTGATGCTGCCAATTTTGAGGCTGTTGCTGCTGCTGCCTCGTCAAGTCGCGTTTGTGCCGCAATCAAATGCTCAAATACAAATGCGGCCGAAGGCATAATAATTTATCGCGTAAATAATATCAATATATATATATATATATAAGTCTGTTTTACTATATATATCGTTCTCCTTCAGTTTTGTTAACTTTTAAAATTCAGTTTAAATCGCCCACGCACTAATTTCAACTGCTTGCACTGCTTTGTTGAGTTTGATTAGAACTGCTTTGTTCATTTGTCGCCTATAGCTTGTGTTGTTACGCCGCTGAACCGCAACGCGAGAATGAAGCTCCAGCAGCCAAGTGTGAACCTTTTAGCTCAAGTCTCTGCTCCGAATGCTTCGTGTGCGCCTTGTCGATCTTCGTCGGCGCTGCTCGTGTCGTCGTCGTCGCCGTGAGTTGCTTGCTGTTGTTGTTCTTAACTTGCGTGTTTGTTGCTCTTTTCTTGCTTGTTGTTATTCTTGCTTGTTGTTATTCTTGCTTGCTGTTGTTTTTGTTGTTGTTCGTGCCGCTTGCGCTCTGCCGCTGTGTTCTAAGCGCTCAGATCGTGTGCTCGTGAATGAATGAATGCTGGCTGACTGCGTGCGACGCTTTTTGTATGAAATGCACAGAAATGCGACGGAACCGAGTCTGGATCAGATTGGGGACTCGAGTACTTAAACTCAAACTCAAACTCGAATTCGAGCTCGTCTTAATCTTGGTCATAATATGTCAAAGGCGTACAAAACATACAACGCAGGCGCAATTTTTGTTTTCTTTATTTTATTTAATTTTCTTTTCTTTATTTGTTTATTTTTGTGGGGGCGTCGCCGTCATTCAGTTTGCGTATCTTTTGTTTTTCTTTTGCCTCAGCCGCTTGCACTGCTTGTGCAAGTTCAGCAAACAGTAAAGTTGTCAAAAAAAAAAACATAGGTTCACTAAACTTAACGCACAAATTAAATAAACTGTGACTTGTGCAATTTATTTAATGTGTTTTATTTTATGTTCTTTTAGCACAAGCTTGACAATTATATAAATAAATAAAGGAACTATAAATGTGCATATTGCCTTGATTGTAGTTCATCTAGTTCATTTAGTTCGTTAACTCGTTCGTGCTGAAAGTGCGTTTGCCACAAAGCTTTCCAAAGCACATTCTTTGATATTACGCTTTGGCTGCATTTCACAGCTGTTAAATTCTTTTGCACTTTCGAGCAAGAACCGTTTGAAAGCTCATCATTCTCATCAAATAAGCCATCTGGCTGCACTTATACGTTCTGGGGTCGAGAAAGGAGACGAGGCCGGAGCGGAGCGGGGCGGGTTGGGCCGGGTGACTAATTTAAGTGCTAACATATGCGACAATTTTTCAACTGTAATGTATTTAGTTGAGCAGCTATTTGAATGCTACGCATTCGAATTGACAGCATGAATCAGAATCCCAATTCGCCTTTATATGCTTCTGTGTGTGTCTGTGTGTGTGTGTGTGTGTGTGCCTGTGTATATATATGGTCATAATGTTGATGGTATATATGGCAGCAGCAGTCGTGTAACAGCGTCGGCGCCAGTATTGCCTACCACCGGAAATGAAACTGAAACCGAATAACAACAATGCTGGCAATTTTTGTGTGTTGCGTCTTTGGGAATTTTGTTGTTCTCAGAGAGCAAGAGAGAGCGAGCGTGTCAGAGTGGTTGCGAGGGATAAGGTGTGAGCGAAAGAGAGACGACTCTTCTATGGCGCAGGCGCAGACGTCAGAGTCGGCAGAACGTGCCGCGCATATTTGGCAAGCAAATTTTGTGTTTTTTTTTGGCTTTCTTGCTTGCGCTCATGATCTTATGACGATGGACAGTGGTTCGAGAGCGTTGAACACTGAACCAAATTCGATTATTAAGGGAAACGAGCAATAAGAATATAATGCAAATTACTGTGCAAATGAAAATTAATTATAAGTTCTCAGGCGGGAATAATCTTAAATTGAGGCAATTTATTCTCGAGGGAAAACAAACTTAAATCAAATTGTTGTCTTCACTCAGGACTTAAGTTGTTTATTGAAGACCACAGAATTTACACATATTATTTGCTATGGTGGATCTCAAAGCTTACAAATTATTTTCGTAATCGTTTCGTTGCGCTTTTCAACCACTGTGCGCAGGCAGTTGCGATTCGAATTGGGCGGTTTACACTGTGGGGGTTGTTTGTCGATGACAAACCAAGCCCCTCATCGTCGCCACCCGAATCATCATAATCATCATCATCATCGTCGTCGTCGTCATCATGATCATCGTCGTCATCATGATCATCAACTTCAACATCATCGAATTTCGTTGGAAGAACGTCAAGCGAGAATGTTTCAAAGTCGTAAACAAAAACCAATCACATTAATCAGCTTCAAAAATGTGTAATAAAATCCAAAACAAAAAACACAAAAACACTCAACTTACAATTTACAAAAGTTGAAGAAAATGAGTTTAGCCAGTCTAAATGTCTAAACGACAAACATGACTGTGCCTTTTGCGTTATCTCATTTAAGTTATGGCTAACATTACCCGATGAACCCGATATACCCCGTTTATGTACAAAGTCTAAGCTTATTCAAATCAGATTTAGTAAGAAAATTTGTCTTTTTTTCATCACGTTGATGATGGAATTTCCGCTTTACGTGGTATCAAAAATGCAGTCAGATCCGTGTATGACTAAGTCAAATGCCTGAACTTTAGCCTTTTTTACAGGGTATATATGCCTGTACTGTGACTGTACTTCGCTGGTGACTTATCGCTCGTCGGTAAGTTGAGTCACAAATCCTAACAATTATGCCTTGATTCATAATATTTACAAAAAATCTATGCTAATAACTAAAAGCGCGCTAAACGACTTTCTTGATTTACGATGCACTGCTTTCCGCTCACTAAACAGGAGCAAGCAGGAGAAAGCAGTTCACCAATTTCAGCTTCACTTCGAGCTTTAACTGGTAGTTAAATTTGATCTGTTTTGACCTTGAACATGTTTGTTACCGGCCTGTTAAATAGCGGTTAACAACCCACAGGCCCAACCATAGGCCCAGTCTCATTTTCGGTTCCAGTCCCGCTGCTCAGTGCCAAGTCCCAGTAAAAGTTGAGAGACTCCAGAGTCGTGTCGTTCATAGATAAATACACAGACAAAAAAAAGCATACCAAAAACCAAATTGCGAATAATATTTATGAAAAATTTGAAATTAAGAATTGTAAACAAAAATCGCAAATCAGGAATGTATCACGATTGTTCATTCTAGGCGAGATCATATTTAAGAATATATATTCTAGAATAGGCGAGACTGTTCTTAAGAATATGTATTCTAGTTTTCAAATTTTTGCAACTCGATTTACTTTCGATCAGGGTATGATGAAACCGGAACCGGAATCGGAACCGCTGCTTTATCGATTGAAATTGAGAAGCGGAACCGAAAATCAACGAACTATAGTAAGTATATATATATATATATATAGTACCACAAGTGTCGGGAATACCCAAGATAATTCGGAACTAATTGCTAACTTTTAGCGGAAACATTTTACACTTTAAATAACCGGAATCGAAATTCTTTGAATTAGGAATATATTTGTGCATTTGGCAGTTTTTTGCTCAGTGTATATACGATCAGTTGTACTTTGGAATTTGGGGATCTGGTGTTCTGGGGATCGGGGTCTGGGATTGAGATTGAGATTGGGCAACCCGAATGCGTCGCATAGCTTCGCGCCTCGCATATTGAATGCCGCCATTTGCGCACGCAACTCGAAAATGTTATTAAACAATAAATTATGTTTATTTTTTGTACGGTTCATTTTACTATTGTTGCTATTGTTGTTGTCGTCCGTCGTGCCCAAATGCGATCGTGGAGCTTTATACACATCATTATCAATAAAACTCGATGTTGTTTTTATGGTTAGCAACAATATTTTGTGGCAAGCGAAGGTCAATGCATTTATAGAACTTTATAATATAAATATTGAAAAGCAGAAGAATAAAGATCTAAAAATTTATTGTAATGCAAAAAATATTCATTACAACACTCAGAAAAATAATTATTCAAGTTTTCTTGTTTTTAGAAATAGTTTTTAAGTACACGAAAAGCAATTTCCCTAAATTAGAAATACTTTTTTCTCATTGCTAGAGTTCTGTGTATACATTTAAAAAGAAAAAACCCCGGGAAGGAAAATCCCAGATTTTTTTAAATATACTTTCTGTATAATAAGGTGAGTTACCCTCTAAGTGAAGCAGTTAGATTTTTTAAATGAGTTTTTAAAGTTCTAGTTCTTAATGTGTGTTCTTTAATCTTTGCGTCGTTTTAGTTTAATTTGAAAATGGATTAAAGAACTTGACTACATCAAACTGATGCAAAAATCATACTTCAAGTGATTCAAGTTCTGGCTATATGTATATAAAGCGCTAGTTCTTCATTTAAGAACTAAATTCTTAACGCTGATTCAGTTTAATTTAATATAATATAATTAATAATTATCAATAAATATTATAATTTAAGAATATGTCTTAAGAACTGAATTTCTTTAAATGAGATCAATTTGCAGTCAACAACAATCTTAAAAAATGTTACAGCAAAAAGTTCAAAATAAAATTTCTTTGGCGGTCAGAACTATGAGTTTTGACCTTGGCCTTTTGCCTGTTTATATAGTATATAGTAAATATATATATATATCATATAGTAAGTCAAAGCTTTATCTTTGGACTGACACGTTTTGCTCGAAACGTTTTTAGGCAAGTTAGTTGAGAATATAATTTAGCAGGCTAGTTTCAAGCGGTGTCTCTCGATAGTTAATTTTGAATTATGGGCCTTACTCCGTGAAAAGGGTGTTATGGATGACAGCACGTTAGATAAATAGACGGATTTTTTTTGGTTTTACGTGCGCAAATCGCAAAATGGCAAAATGGCTGACAAAGTGAATGTAAACCAGGTCAAAATGCTGGTTCCAGTTAGACGCAATTGAAAAGTAAGTGACTTTCTCTAACTAACTTACTTCCGTGTTGGCAAATACAAATATAAATGAATACCAATATATACATATATATATCTATATATATACATATATTATAAATATTATATTATATGTGAAGGACAACCTTTCGCCATAATGATCGTGCACGTTTTTCCGTTTCGAGTTCGTGTCGAGGGATTTACCTGAATCAATAATCATGCGGTTGACTCTACCCCCAACCAATCCCCCCTCTAACCGACTGCTCGTCTGTCCGACTGTCCGTTTGTCCGTCTGTCCGTCTTTGTCCATTTGCGGTTAGCTGCACGTTCGTGCCGAACGCTTTTAATCGTGTCGGCGAGCCATTTAGGATACAATTTATACACGTCTCTATCTATATACATATATACATGCAGATATATATAGATATATGTAGATATATTTAGATATA